GGCTAAATTGTAGATATTAGAAAATGTATGGTTCTATTAAAAAAAAAACAAATGAGGATATGTTAAGCGTTTGTAAAGGGAATAGTCCTCTTAAACCCGTAAAAAGGAGATCAAGATTAATAAAGATTACTAATACTATTTCATTTTATATAGGTAGTTCTTAGAGAACATGTACGAGCTCATCATTCAGGTCCTGATCCAAAATGCGTTGGTAGTATTACACCATACTTATGCAAAGTTTGTGGTGATGCTTATGCAACATCAGAAGAAATTGTTGCTCATATAGTTCAACATTGTGATGATAACACTGCACTAAGACGTCAACCACAGACCGGACCACGCAAATATAAAAGGAGGCGTAAATTGAAGCCTCATGAAACAACTACAATGTTAAGAATTAATGAAAATTTTGATACACTTGAAGGTGGATCTGATTCAGATGACAATACAAAACGAAAACTTGGTAGGAAAAATAAACAACATAGATCAAATGTTGAAGAAGGTTATCAAAATGTTCTTAAAAGTTTTGAAAGTTCTTTACAAAATATAAATTCAATAGTAAGTAATTCTAAATTGAATCCTGCTAAATCAAAATTATCGAAGAAAAAATTGAGGAAAGAAGAAAAGAAAAATGAAGGGCAAACATCATGTCAATCAGGTAGACCTAAAATGATACACACTCAAAAAACAAGAGTACCTGTTGAAATGGGTAGTGATGGTGTTAAAAAGGGTCAAAAAACCAAAACGATGGTAACAAGAACTCCAAAAGTAATGCCAAGTGAACATAAACTGGGTATCTTCACTGGAGGAGAAAGAAATAGACCAAGAACAAAAAATGTTAGTTATCATATTGAGGGAAAATTACAGTTAACACCTGCAACATTTCCAAAGCTAAAGGAAGAAAATGTTAAATTATCAACACAAGTACAGCCACCAATACTAACAAATATAAAAATAGAGCCTGGTGTACAAAAATCTGTGGATAGTAATCATAGTAATAATCATAGTAATATTGTAAAAATAAACAGTGATAAATTAGACCGAACATCTAGAAAAAAGTCTACTGTTTTTAAGAAAATAAAGAAACAAAAGCAAATAAATATAAAAGAAGAACCAAATGAAAATGTAAATGAAGTTGAAACACAAAATAATAATAATACAGAAAATACTAATTCTATACGGTTAATGGAGGAGCACACAGTAGATGGGGGTAGCCTAGAAGTTGCTTTTGAAGCTAGCGTAGTTACAGCGGAAGAAGAAACCATTCTTCCTGATATTGATACAGTGACTACTAATGATAATATTGGGAATGGAAATGTTCAACTTAGTGTAAAGGTGGAATCTACACCTCAAAGAATCTTGGCTGTTCATAGTGTTATTACACCTGTGGATGAAGTCGCAGAAACTATAATACCGGATACTTTGGAATACACATGTGAAATGTGTTCTATGGTATTCTCCAGTCGTGCTGAGCTTTTGGTGCATGTACCAATACATATTTGATTTAATTTGTCTAATATTATGAAAGCAGGTATGAAAATTTGTTCTATTCTAAATGCACTCGTTTAATGAATCAATTTTTAACAATTATTGAAATTCAGTTAATTAAAGTTGACTTTATTGTATGCTAAAGTATCCCTTACTTGTTACTATGCAGAACAAACTTTATGTTCTTGATATGTTCCAAAGTTTTTCATTTTATGAGTTATTATAAGTTGTCTAATCATTCTAAAAATATAAAAACGTGTGACCACATTATTTAAGTAACATTATGTTCATTTTATATTACATATGTTTTTAAGAAAAAAGCTTTGATCCGAATGTAATCGTCAACTTGAATTAAATAACAACAAGAAATAATTCAGATAATTTTATACATATGCATACAATTAAGAAAGTAAATATTTAATAAGACATTGAAAACCAGAAATTTATTAATTTATAATTTATTATTAATGAGATCAGTTGTAGATCATATTTTCTTGAAGTGTATAATTAAATAAAATTTCAACTATAAATAATTAATTCAAGAAAGTATGTTACTTGTGTTATTGGATAATTTTATTTATACGTATTCTTTTTGAATGGTATAGTATAATTAAAAGGTAAAATTTGTAAATTATCATTTTTTTTTTAATTTCTTTCTAGTATATCATGATTTAATATATAATTATTCGTTTAAAAATTGTATTTTTTTCCCTCAGCAATGGTGTACACGTGTATACTTAATATAGCTGTGATTATTATAAATGCAATAATTACAGAAATAACTTTATTATTCTTAAAAAACAACAAACCCTTTTTTGAATAAAATCAGTAAAAAGTCATTTTTATTAGAATAATTCCTGAGTGCAGCCTGTTATGAATTTATGACAAATATACTATCTTTTTCTTAAAGAAGCAGTGTTAATATTAAATTTATATTAAATTTTTAATTATCATGTATATGTGTGCGTGTGTATACGCACACGTGTGTGAATTTCACTCGGAATTATAAGGATAATGTTTATACAAATAACAACTTTTAATTTTCAATAATTTTAGTATATTAATGTTTAGAAGTATTATTGTTTCATTTGTCATTATATATCAGTAATATTGTTACTGTATAAACGCACATTTATTTTAGTAATACTGCATTGTTATTGAAATTTAATAAAAATATGTGTAATAATATCTATGACAGTAATTTAAAATAATTCAATTGGATAATGCACGACGTGTAATACAAATATTATTATATTTTATTAACTAAATGCTAGGTGTAAATTATAATGAAAAAGTTTAAAAACTAAATGTTATTTTGAATATTTTGTTATGTATTGTTGTACATTTTGTTGTATATTTAGATTTGTAAGCTGAATAATATCTATTATGAAAATTAGAGGTATTTTTGTCAAGCGCTAAAATATAATATCACTAAATGATAAAAATATTTTATGAAAAATGATTGTAAGACTTTTATTCGACATAAATAGTAACAGTATGTTTCTTATTTCATTGGTTTATAACGATATTTGAATGAATACAAATCATTGAAATTTGCTGTAATGTAAGTTTTATATCTATTATAAAAGAGGTCATATCTTAGAATCGTATTCTTATTATTCTTTCACCTTAAAACAAACCAAAAAGACAATATTATAAGATCTATTTTAGAATTAATAGTTTCTTTAATTTCATATTTTTACATATTATTTTAGTGTCATTCAAAAATTCTATAGGTTTATAAACTGAATGATATTGCAAACTATCAAATAAATGACTATTATTTTTTCAATGTTTAATATTTTTTGTTATTGATTGATGTTTTTGTAAACGTGTTATTATAGTTTAGCAATTGACCATATATCTCGGACTTCTTCGAATAAAAATATAATTTATCCATAAACTATTAGATTATGAATTTTAATTACACGATTATGAAAATTAATACTTATTTTTAAAATCGATAATTAATATGTATATTTTATGTGCCCCATATTCTTTTCTATATATATTTTTCATAATAATATTGAAATATGCGTTAGGTTTCTAAGAAGTAAACTTTTAGTTTTCATCTATATTATCAAATTAAAAGAAAATTTCTTATATTTCAATGGCATTATGTAAAGCAAATCAATCAAAAATAATGTATGCTGTATTTTTATAGCAAAAAAGTATTTGAATATGATAAAGGTTTCTGTCATGTTTGACATAGTCTCTTTTTGAAGAAATGAATATATTTTATTATTTGATATACCCTTCCCTGTGTCCGCAGGATTGGGATACAGTGCCTATTTATAAACTCATTTTTATTTTTCCAAAAATGAGTCACATTTTGATGATAGATTCAGAAGATTTGATAAATGAAGAATCCATTTTTAGGTAAACTAACATCATCACGTTTAACAACGTAACTTTTATTATAGCATTTTATGTTTAAATGTATAATGTACATATTTTGCAACTAATAATTTCTATTGTTAAAGCCTAATTACTTCTTCTGTTTATGAGGACAAAATTGGAACTATTTAAAAACATGTATTATTATAAAACAAGATTATAATGTCATAAGACTTAAAAATTAAAAATATATGACCAATGTAAAATATAAATTTATAATTTATATTATGTATAAAGTAAAAGAAACAGCGTCTGGATAATAATGTGTAAATATTACTTACATAAGTTATAAGCCATAAAAATTGGTTAAGAATTTTAACAATATAGCTTTCATAAATGAATCGAATATAACAAAAATCACATTCCTGCTTGTAATATCTAATATTTAAAAAAAATGTTTTCATATTGTACATTGTATAAATCATTTAATGAATGCAAACATAGTGCAAGTAGTGTAGGAAATATACAGAAGGGCTTAAATCAAGATCTAATAAAAAATATCTATAATTTTCAATCGTTAGTTAAAGCGAGTCATACGTAAGTAGTTCGTGGCTCTTTAAACTTATAAAACTACTACAATAAATTAAGCATTACAATAATGTGTTGCATGATAAAATTTTGAATAGTTATATAATGTCACGTATATAAATCGTTTTATTAGCAAATTAAAGTCTAAGATATGTATAGATATATAAGCATTGGATTTATATTGCCATTCATAAAGATGCACTTGTATTTGCAATGAGTGATTAGTAAAAATGTATATTTCGTCGCGTTGGATTTGATATTGCGTTAATCGTAGTTTTATTTTTTTTTTTAAATTACAGTTACATTAAAGATATAATCATCTAAATTCGCACATGATCAAGGATAATATTCATGCATATATACTGCAATGTATATGTACATATGTATATATGTACTCAATTGTATTTTAACTATATACATTTATAGAGATCAGTATATTGCACATTATAAATCATTGTCAATTCTATCTGTGTATGTGTAAATACACACAGGTGCATAAGTGCATGTGTAAAAGAAGTTATATATGGAGCGCGCGTATGTGTGTAATGTATACATGTGTACAATATATATTATATATTATATATTATGTATAAAATATGTATATATATATATACATATATATATATATATATATATACAAAAAAAACGTATGTATATGTACACTCCACTGCTGTGGTAAAGATAACATGTTTGCAAAAATTGAATATATTCTTATTTTGTGCAATAGCTTATAATTTATGAACATTTTTAGGTATTTTAATTGTTTCTTATGAACCGAAATTTGATTAAATACAAAATTTTTAATTTGAAGCATCAGTAAGCATAATGCATGTAGATATTCATTCATTCAAATAAATATAGTCAAATGTTACAATGCGGAAAGAAGTGGAAACAGAATTATCAGTGTAACTGATATGATTTTGCAATGCATAAATATATCTATGATATTAATTGTATTTAAGTTAAGAGCAGATAAAAATTTAATAAACTGTATGTTTATTTAGGGAATAAAGTCGCAAATACCATAAATTTCTTTTTCAAATCCCATACATAAGACAGAAAAGATAATTAATATTGCTCCGATGACACTTGTTGATGATGGTTCTTCTTCAAAAACATATATTTGTACAATATATGCTAGAATAATATCTAATGATCTAGTAATCGATACTTTTCCTGCTCCTTCAATTTTTAAAGCTTTCGTTACAAGAGCTTGCCCACAAAGTCCAGTTATTGATAAAGAAAGTATTTTGCCCCATGTAAACCAGTCATTTGGTAAAATCAACTTGTGTTCATTATTTCCAGGAATAATGAAGAAGAAAAATGTTGCTGCCATGAGTGACCATGTAGATAAATTTAGAACAATTATGGAATAGTGTATTTCCTGACATTTTCTCATTATCACAATATTTAAGGCTGTAAATAGAGTTGCTGTCAGTGCATATACATACCCTATAACATCGTATGATTCTGCTTTATGTATCTGCAAAACAAAAATATAATATGAATCTTCTTAATATCGTACATAAATGTACATCGGATAACTGGTAAGTCCTTAAATGTGTTCAATGAAATAATTATTGAATATCTAACATTTTAATTAAAAATATCTAACTATAAACATTGTTAATACATTGCTTTTACTTTTAACATTATATGATGCATAGGTGATACATATTATTTTTGGTTGTAAAATAAAAAATATCTATATTTTATTCAAGATAAATCATTTTTTTACCTGAAATAATAATGGTGGCCTGGCTACAAGTATAACACCCGTAAAGAGCACACAGGCAACTATTATGCGCAACAAACCACATGGTTCTTTTAGGAATACAAAGGAAAGTACAATAACAATAATTGGAGAACTAAATATAATTGTTGTAGCATCACCCAAAGGTAATTTTCTAAAGCTGTAGTATAATAATGATAAAGTCATTCCACCTACAAAACCCTAGAGAAAATTTGCACATTTAAAAAAGTTCTAATTTTAGAATACTATTAATTTTAATTCTAATTTGCACAACATTACATAAAATTTTACTCAATTTTTATAACAGAAATATCGTGTAAAAAAAAATCATTTGTAAAATAAATAAACTCAAGTATTATTGATAGAAAAAAAATACGAATAAATAAATAAAAAAATTCTAGCACATATATGTCAGTATACGTACCTGAAGGTGTATAAGCATCTGTTGATTTTTAGGTCCTAGTATATTTTTAGTTGTTTTAATCGCAATAATAACCATTACTAATATTTGCAGAACTGCTCTAATAATTAGCAATATCATCGGATCAACATTACGGATTGCTTTTACTAAAGCAGAACTGATTGTAAAAAATGTACCAGATAGGAATGCTAAAAGTATACCAAACCATTTTGTACCTTCCTGGTACGTTTCAATGTTGTTAGCAAATTGTTCATTATAGTGATAAGTAGGGTGGATACTATTGTAAGAAGTTGTAGATTTAATGCTGAACTTCATAACTAAAATGATTGTAAACCTGCACTATACACAATTTTCTTGAAAGTAATACATATAACAGACTATTGTCTACGGTACACCTTTTGCAGACAATTACCATATAGCTTAATGCGTCGTAAAGATTAAAAGAGGATTAATAATCCCTAACAGGTGGAGTGAAATAAAGTAGTATCAAACGTCTACATTAGAGTTGTAATTGTAATATATATAATGCAAAAAATTTATACAATAAGAGAAAAAGTATTTGTAAGGATATAAAAAGATTAAGCTAGATAAAATATATTTTTATTAATTTTTTATGGTATAATGCATGTCTACATATTTTAATATGTATTTCATGACAAATGTAAAATATATTATTGTCAATAAGTATAATTATATTACCTGTGTATGTACCCACACGTACACAAATAAAATAAAACTATATAAATTTTGAATTGCCTTATAAGTAATATAAGAATTTTCAGTATTTTAAATATATATATATATCACCAGTACCTTTATTACTGAATATTCTAATATTACACTTGTATTGTGTGTGTGGGGTAAAACCAATAATTTATATGCATACAGTAAGTTAGTCCTTTCCAAATTTTAAACTCTTGGCCGGTTGATCAATACGATATAAATTATTTCCTAAATTAAAATATCCCAAATATTCTATGGTTTCAGGAGTAGTGTCGATATGATAATGTCCTCCTTCACCATGATGTGAAAAACTGTGAAAATGTTGTACTCTCAGATCCAAATCCTATAAAAATATTATAAAGTTTTCAATCGATATATGACAACCTGTTATGATAACTTCATAAACCATAACTTATTAAACAGAATTAACAAAAGAATTTATTTTCTGAATAAGTATTTTTAATAATAATCTTATAAATTTTTGTATTTGTCTTTAATTATTTTAGTTCTAAGTAAATGTATTACAAATTTTAATATGAACTTACTGTTTCTGAGCTTACAAATGTACCAACAGCTACAAGAGGAGTTGACATATTGTAAAAATTTAACCAATCATCTAGTTGTTGTAAATTGTTTAATGGTGTAGTAGAAAAATCTGGCATAACATGCTGTTTTACTTTTCCTTCGTTGATTAAAAATGTTCCACCGAAGCCTATTTAAAAAATAGTACTAACGTTTCTTATTTAAATAAGACTGATAATGAATTATATATATACACAAGATATCTTAAACTTAAGACTAAACTGCAAGGGTTTAATCTACACTTAAAAAGAACAAAATATTATGTAAAGTTTGACAGGAAATACTTTTGTACAGAATTATAAATAAATTTTGAATGTGTATATGTAGCTCTTACACTGTCTTTACATTTCTTGATTTTTACTTATGAGAAGTTCTCAAACAATAGATTTATGCTACAAAAATTACTTCACATGAGAAACTAGAACAAAGAATTAAAATCACAATCATGAAAACTCAAGAAAATTCTCACAAACTACGTTGTTATTATTTCTATTATCAATCAATATTAAGATTACATTCGAGTACAAGGATAGCATTTTCAAATATATCTTGAAAAACTTCTGGTAATTTTTTTTATTACATCTAATTATCTATATCTAATATTTTATCCAATAAATATAGTCGACCTTCTTTGTATACTAATCGAAAATGCATAGTTATATGAAAATTTAAACATACTACGTTCATAACTATGTAACAAAGTTTCCTTGATAAACTTTGCATACCATTTTTTCCTTTTTCTAAATGAAGATTAGATTTTTGCAGTTTGGTCATCGAAGTTTTGGACACTCTGTATATAGTTTACTTACCAACAAGTTTATCTTTATAATGATGTGCAAGTGCTTTTTGCATACAAGCTATGAAGTCATCCTTGCCAGTGCGCCTCTTAACATGCACTTTTAAAACGGATCCTGTTTCACCTTTACTTATAAAAAGATTTGCTAATAGTGCAAGTCGCGTTTCATTACCATTTAATGTTTCAAGTTTACAATTTCCACTTGATTTATCAACTGAAGCAATGCGTGTTTCATTCTTTATTCCAGATGATGAAATGACTAAATTCATCATTAACTAAAATATTAATAATTATAATATAAAAATAAATAAATGTGAAATATGTATATATATATATAATCATTCTCATACTTCACAATTAGAATTTATATACGGCCATGGCCCAGCTCCTGCACCGATAACAAAAGACTTATCAGAATAGTTTATGTGTTTCAAAAGCTCATGAACATCATATAACTTATCCTTTTGAACAATAGGCAACAGGTAAGATGGACCTCCAATTTCAAAAATGGTAGGATTGCCACTTAAACCTAATGACATTTGAAATAATTTGATTACTAATATATATGAATTCTATTAACATAAGTTAAAGTAAAATTTAATATTTAGCATAATAATAAAAGTGATAAAATTCAAATAAAATAATACCTGAAGCAGAAAGTAAAAATGGTTCTTTTGTTAAGTCTGGACAATTCACAACTTCCACTTTAACTTCAGCAAAATTTGTAGATAATCCTTCTTCTAAAACTGTATCATAATGTATTAGATAAAATTAAGGATACTAAAAAATCAGTTAAACCGTGTATAATCATTAATAAATCATTAATATTTACCAGTTTTTATTTCATTAAGACTTGGTACATGTAGCGGTCTGCATGTAAATTTCAATTTTTTTACATCTAATGTTGCCATATTGTTGAAATGTAGATTTTGGTCGAAAAATAAATTATACTTTATAACTTATCATTAAATGCACTTTGTAAATTATTTTAATGTAGTAAAATGTAAGATAAAATAGTTTATGAAATAATAATTTAACTTCGGTAAAGAAAAAGAAAACACGTAGAACTATAAAGAAATAATAATGGAAACACTATCTAATCATATTCCCCTACTCTATGACCTTCTCATTGAAGTATATACCTATCTTTTCATATCGCATATTTTTCACACATTCACGTAATGTTACGTTAATGACTCTATTACTGATTTTGCACTGATAGGAAAATTCCTTTAGCACAAATTGTATTTTATTTTATAGCAAAGAATATGATATCGATCAGGAACATTTATATCTATTTGAAATGTAATAATAAATCAAGAAAAAAACATTTCTAAAACAGTATGGAAATATTTGTTAAAACTATAAGAATTAAAGGTTATAGTAAGTTGGAAATTGTGTTTAATTGTTAAAAAACATATCAAAATGGAAATTAAGTTATTCTTGGCAGCAAAATAAAATCGCCTATTTGTTCGTATGCTGTAAAAATATATGCATTTTCGATATACTAAAATTTAATAAATGAGAATAGATATAAACTTTTCTTCACTTGGTATAAAATTATGATTATACATGTGTATATATNTATATATATAGATTATAGTATAGAGAATTTAGATGGTTTTAGTTGATTTGATTGCAGTTTGAAGAAAATATAGACAAATTTGTAAAACAACTGGAAATTTATAAAGAACAAATATTACTGTCGCGTATTTACATTACTTAAATTCGAGTTATATAAATTTTTGATTAAAAATAAATTGATTCATTATCCTCCATTATCAATTAATCTGCTCTCCCATTACTTAAATTCACTAGTCATTACTCCATGCTTAAAAATAAAAGTTATGCAACACACGATTTTACGAGGTTAAGCAATATTAAATAGTGGAGTCATCTTTTTACTTTACCAAAGCTGGCTGGTATAGGCACAGTCGCTTAATTGTCCACATTTGACATAATATAAATATAGAGTACTCTATCCTGTAAACAAGCTTCTTCAAATAAATTAAAAGTATCCAGGGATTATTTTTTAAAAATTTACATTATAGCCTTTTATATATCTTTACATTTAAAATGTAAGTTTATATGGTTGAAATTGCTAAAAACACATAATTGTTTGATTTAATACAATAATTTTTTTATACGCAAAGTATTCCATTCACAAATCATGTTTATAAAACATATGTATGATCGTAGTACAGTTTTAAACATAATCGTCACGCGAGAATATTTTATGTAAACATAATTACATAAAGTGTACACTCGCTGTGTTGATAAAAATGTTAGCACGAAATTTATCATGTGATCTTAATTTTAAAAATATATTAAGAAAATAAATGCTGTATCATGCTACTGCAATAAATCTTAAATAATTCTTTACTAATTAAAAAATTCAATATTATAGCAATTGTGTATAAATATAAAAAAAAGTGTGTGCATGTGGATAATTGATATGTAAGATTATTATTATTAATGTTAATACATAATAATCATTCTGATAAAAGTTAAGGGGCTTGGAAAGTTATCTTTGAGACACATTTTCTAAGTGGATTAACAGTAGTTGAAATAGACATAGATATGCAATACTATTTTTCAATATCGAAATAGACTGAGATCATTTCTGATAATCCTCTTTATTCACACACCATATACAATGAGCATAAGCTAATAAGTCACTACTATTATCGAAACTAAAAATTGCTTATAATCTTATAAAAATTAAATTTTGTACCCATGTCAACCTAATAAGTACTATGTTCCTTTTAAACTTTGAACTACTTATTTTTATATGCTATATTTGTATTTTTTTTCATGTAGTTTTGAATTCATAAATACAATGCTCTATAACTCAAGTTAAATATTTTCTATGAGATTTTAAGTTTATGGAGATTGTTTTATAAGTGACACTTTTCATAGTGTCACTGTGAAAACTAATGAAAAAAAGGAAGCTTTCATGAAAACGTATAAATAACACTACAAAAATGTTGCAGAAGCAAGAGTAGAAATGTACGTGTATAAAAAAAAGCACAGGTAAATAATTACAAATTTCAAGCAGTATAAAGTAGGTCAAAATTTATACAATAACTATATAAGGATCTTTGAGGAGGTACACATGCGTGCAAGTATATATATACATGATTCTTTATATAAATATATATATAAAATAAATGTATACATAATATAGACCATATTTTTACAAGTAGTAGAATTTCAAACAGAAATGTATAAATTTAAATTTATATCTTCAATATATAAGTATTTTTACAAAATAATTATTTATTGCACCTGTGAGCAATTATTTTAAAAAATGCTTATGCTTGTAATTTTTCTTGTAATAATTTTTCGAGTTTACGTACATCTACTGCAAACTTACGAATACCTTCACTTAGTTTATCAGTTGCCATTTGATCCTCATTTAAAAGCCATCTGAATTTAGCTTCATTTAAACTAATTTTTTGTAAGTCACTTTTCTTAGCAGCTTCCTCCGTTAATAATTTATGAATAGGTTCGTTGCTTTTTTCTAATTCTTCCAATAATTTTGGACTAATAGTTAAGAAATCACAACCAGCCAATTGCTTAATTTCATCTAAAATTTGTATATATCAAAATGTTTATACATTAATTTGTTTTTAATTTATTATAAATTTACCTGTATTTCTAAACGAAGCACCCATTACAACAGTTTTATAACCAAACTTTTTGTAATAATTATAAATTTTTTTAACTGACAATACTCCTGGATCTTCTTTAGCTTCATAAGATTTTATACCTGTTTTCTCTACATACCTGTAAACAAAATTAATATCAATATATATAATTTTAAATATTAAGTTAAGCAGAGCATTTACCAATCAAGGATTCTGCCAACAAAAGGTGAAATAAGAGTTACTCCAGCTTCTGCACAAGCGACAGCTTGGGGGAAAGAAAATAAAAGAGTTAGATTGCAATGAATGCCATATTTTTCCTCAAGTTCTCTATAAAATTATATATTAAAGTATATTACACATTTCAAATATTATTAATATAATAATAATTTTTTTAATTTATATATAAAAACACTTACTTTGCAGCTTGAATACCTTCCCAGGTAGAAGCTAATTTAATTAATACACGTTCTTTGCTTACTCCATTCTCTTCATATAAATCAATTAATCTTTTTGCTTTTTCAATACTACCATTTTTGTTGAATGATAGTCGAGCATCTACTTCAGTAGAAACTCTTCCAGGTATAATATTAAGTATCTCTTTACCAAACAAGACACAGGTCAAATCTAATGCTGCTTCAATTTGCTTTTCTGGCGTACTAATAATAAAATACAATATTAATTAAAATGCAAGAATAAGCAAATATTTTTACTTACGATTCAGTCTTCTTGCCATAATGAATAGCTTTATCAATTAAATGAGCATATTTCTTTTGACTGGCAGCAGCAAGAATCAAAGATGGGTTAGTAGTTGCATCCGTTGGTTTGAATTGTTTCATAGCTATAATTAAAAATTAAGCCATGTATAAAGTTTTTATTATTTCCAAAGATATTTAATAAAATATAATCCATTAATGATTCAATTCAACATTCAATTATTTAATTGGAGCCAATAATCATAATTTTTATTATTAAACATGAATACATTTACTTACTATGTTAAAAAAGATATTATAACATTAAATAATAATTTACTTTATTATATTTATTGTCAAAGCAAGTTTGCATATGAATATTGCAATATATATGAATAAATATACTTTATTTTATATTTTTCAATAATTAGTTGCAAGCTATTTAATGATTCTGACATTAGCATTGTCGTCGTTATTCAAAATTAATTTCGTTTCAAGTACTTGAGACATGTAATAATAAATATATCTCTTATTATTCTACGTATGAACATTTTTGAAATGGTCATGCTAACATTATTAACACATAATCCAAGAGCAAGTGGCCGGCAGACGGCATGTATTTTACCAATGTCCAAATTTCGTTCTGTCAATTTCTCATACCTTCTATACATTAGAGGGAGATTAAGCTCGGCGGTGGTCCATATGGTGTCACTCAGATAGCAAAGGTACAAAATTTAGACCAACTTCAAAAGCATTTTACTAAGGCTGCCATTTGAATATTTTATTATTTACTATTATTATTATTATTAAAAAAAGATAATGACACACAATTGTGACGGTTTTGAAGTTATGACAAACACTTTTGAAAGTGTCAAAAAAAATCAATTTTCAAATGTATTTTAACACATCTGAAATTTTAATATGTTATTTATTATAGTATTGAGAGCCTACATCTTATAGAACAGACATTTTATTCAGTAATAATATCCCGACTAGAAGAAATTTGGACTTTGGTAAAATACTGTTCATATATATATATCTAATTTTTATTTATAAAACTATATAATTTTATTTCTTTTTGATATTAAATTTAATATATATAGAATCATTATATTGTTCAAATATATCACATATATTATATAAATATAAAAAATGAATCGTAAATATGATATAAAAAATAAATCATGCGTCGTGTTACGTCTACAAAAACTAGGTTTGGTCACCTTCACCTTTGCCCGGGATCGTATGATTTCAAACATATCTTTGATTACTCAAATTATTATTTACTTACCTTCAAAGTCACCGGTATCGGCGACAACTGTTGTCATCTCCTTTAATTGGACTAGTGAACTCGACATCTTCACTTTCTTTAATTGAGGCTCACTCATTTTGTCGATACTTTTATAAACTTTGGGTTCATTGAAAAATTTCTCGACTGGAGCGCGTGGTTGCCAAATGCTTCTGGATGTTATCAACTGTGACGTTATAATGTGATGGCGCTGATGAAACACTAAATTTTAGCCACTAATTGTAAGTTAGATGATTAAAGTAAACAAAATACAATTAACAAATATTAAAATATTAATAATTACAATTATTATAATTTCTGAAAATATTAAGAAATAAAATAAAACTATTTCTTTTTACTATATATTTTTACATTAATTTATACCTGACATAGATCATTATTTTATGAAAATAAATACTTATAAACTAATGGTAAGTAAAATATATATATATAATTGCAAACAAATTATATTTTATTGTTCATTAATCAAAAACGAATATATATGTATACATATATGTATTTAATACTATATTCTAATATTTTGTAAAAAATCTTTATCTTATTAAACTTTGAATAAAAACACTGCATGATGACTTGCAAATTGCAATATAAAGAATACTATAGGAATTCTCTGTTCGAGAAATAAATATAATTTTTCTTTTAAATTTTATTGTACGAATTAGAATTGCATACTCTTACGAACAAAAAGGAAAAACGGCTTGAGAATGCTAAATGAGATAAGAGATAATTTTTTGTGTAATAATATGCATTATTATCCAATTAAGTACATTTGGAATAATGTAACAAACTAATGATATCAGTATTTTTGGTAATATAATTATTAAGAGTTATATCAATTATAACTTTTTATTTAGTTTTTGGAAAGATGATGAAATTTTAATAGTTTTCGTTAATTAATTAGTATAGGTTACAATTGTGTACAAATGAAAATATTTATATATTTCTAATAGTAAAGAATAGGTAATAATGTGATCAAGTTTGTTCTCATTTTCTCTTAAAGCATTAAATATTACTATTTATTTACTGATTTATATATATATCGCGTATTTCATTTGTTAACATTAATAACTTATAAAACACAAAGGTCTCTCTTTCTCTCTCTATGAATATAAAATGTACATAAACATTGAAAATGATTGTTTAAAAATATTTTTTCGTTTTATGTGCGACTAGCATATAACATTTACAATAAGAAAAAGTTATTTCAAGATGGAACATTAACAAAGTGTTTATTTAACAAGTATAAATTTCATGATTAAATAATTGTGTAGATATGACTGTATTAAAAGGAAATTTAATTTATAGAAACAGAAAATTCTTAGTATTAATTAATAGAATTATATTACTGCCACAGTAAGCTGTAAAAGAAATAAATATGTTTTATTATAAGTTTATAGTTTTATCAAAATTAAAAATGGATATTCTTTTTCTTTCATTTATATTATTGTATATAAAAAGATAACCTACTTCATAAGCGATAGTGGAGGCATGCCAGGATCAGCACCTTTTCTGAATCCTAAAAATATATTTAAATTTAAGTATATTTAGTAATTAAATATTTATAAATATTGTGTTATAAATATCAATAATTATTTTCAGTAAATACATTATAAAGAGAAATTGGAAAATCTAACCTAAAAAGAGGACTGTAGGAATAAAACCCCAATGAAATACAACTTTGCTGACATCTAAGACTATTGCGATTTTTTGCTTTGTGCTTGAATTAATGGCCATTTTTTTAAACTTAATTTTTGCTAAGAAAGCCGAAAAAATAATACTTATGTGCTCTGTCCAAATCTTCCTCTTGCAATCTCAACAGAAGCAAATGTGAAATCGAATAATTTGTAAATGTACCTAACCTTAAAATATGTCATATAATCATATTTCTAAAATAAGCCTTGATACGTTCTTTCCATGTGACCAATTAAATAAGGTTACATCGGAATGTATCCTATTTCTAGATTATTATAGGTGATCTTTTAAAGATTGAATAATTAAGCCTTATTTACAACAATAAATAATAACGGTATATATTTAATTTGAAAAATTCTTTGAATAATTGTTATGGTAAAATTTTTGAATAATCTGAATAAAATAGAATTTTATATACAGATTAATTAAAGATTACGATATTTTTTATGTAATCACACAAAACGTTTTTTATGTAAAACACAAAGTGGGATCTTCGCTTCGTTTTTAATAAAAACCTTAATTTGAACATCAACTTTTAGAACTTTATTGAAATTATTTATTGTATCCTACGAAGCGAACACTTTAACACAAAATATTATACTGAAGAACGAAATGCTGTGTTCAAGTTGAAGTACAAAGAGATAAACAAAAAAGTGATTATAAAATTCGGGTATTCCCCATAACTCCAGAATGTTTCTTGGAGTTGTTTTTGTTACAGAACAAAACATTTGTGTAAAAAAGTATTTTGGTGAGCCGTGTTGTTAATAAAAGATTAGACTTATTTTTAAAACATTATTAAATAAATATTGAATAATTAAAGGAATATAAAATTATGTCCTTTCATATTTATTATTTTCTTTGTACATTTTACAATAATAAGATTCAAATAGAATATAAAAGAAGTATATATTTTTTTAAATCGACTATCGATAATAATGAAATCTGTAAAAATAATTATTTATGTTGGCTGCACTGCTTGACATGACGTCATGATTGGTCCCGAAATTGAAATCAATAAATGGTGTGCAATGTTGTGTGCACATGACAGTCGGAGGTGATTATGTCAAAACATAGCACGAATCCGTATTATTTTTGATTGTGGGTAAATGAAATAAATGCTTTTCACCAAAATGACTGGTAGCACAAAGAGAAAATTGGCGATATTCATAGGAACGTCTAAATGTCTAATTTATGTAAGTTATGTTACATTATAAGTGATTTTATTATTTTAATTAAGCTTGATCGTTTCATTGCTATAAGGAAAATGGTTATCGAAGTATTTATAAAAAAATTGTTCTCTACAAAAGAACAAAAATATTCCATTTTGTTCAGATTCGTTCATAAAAAAAACAGTCATTAAGCATTGGTTTGTTATAAATATATTACAGCAAACATAGAAATGATATTACATCCCTTAAAACACATTGCGTTTCATATACTGTTATTTTGATTATCAGATTGTAATTGATGATAGAATTTTTTTTAGGCAGAAGCCAAATACTGTGCCTCTGAAATGCCTGAACAAAGAAAATATTATGAGTGAGTTATATACACGCGCGTTTTACACACGTTACTCTTAGTAATTAGTGTATTTAAAAAATTTTTGTTTATACGTATATAATTTATAAAGTTTGTGCTTATATATATATATATATATATATTATAACGATATATGAACATTGCACAAAATCGATACATGTTTTATAATCTGCATGCATTTGATTTTCTTTAAAAGAAATTATTTTTAATAAAGAAGTATGATTTGTTGAAATAGAAATTATAAGCGTTAAAGTTTTACGAAGATTATATTTGTCGCAGGTGTTCTAGAAGTGAATATTGTTGCGCCTTCGGCTGCTGTGTGTCTCCTGGACTTCATTTTCATCATTTATGGTATTATTGGTGCGTGTGAATTTGTAATAAATATAAATAAAAATTTACACTCGTTACTCCAATCTTTTTATTTTCTTCTAGGATCTTAGTTATAATTATGTTTTTGGTGTGTTCCGGAGGTGGTTGGTGGTATCGATACAGGTTACAGGGAAGATATAGAGCCGCTGCATCAGCCATTCCAAGCAGACCTTCTAATTCGAGAACACAAAATACGCTTCGAGGTCAAACTTGCCAACCACAGCAAGCTCGTATTTCTTACAATTCAGCAAGAAACACCGTTCTATTACATCGTATGTGGAAAGGCTAGTAAATCTTTTTTCGATTTAATTTCTATTAGCTATTGAATACTAAAGCTTTTCATGAAATTATTTTTTAATTTGATATTTCGTCGATAGAATTATGCACGTTCGATATCATCTTTTCATACTTCTTGGTTTTCTCACAGAAAGCAATGGAATTAACATTTAACAATCTACCGCCTGTTATTACTTATTGCATTTAAGTTCAAAGGTCATTATCTATAATAGTTTTCTGGGAATGTTTATAACGGTTGATGGACCGTGAGAAATCGATCGTTGGTAAATCAAGACGATATTTTCTAAAGGAGAAATTTTCCATTAGGTCCTCAAAGGAATGGAACATCTCTTAATTTCAATGGGAACGCTACGACGTCAACACATTATCAAAATATGAATGTAGTGCTAAACGATGCCAATTGTCCCTACTATCAATTGTATGGTCCACCACCGAGTTACGAAACGGTGATTGCTGAAACTCGGGGGAAGACGTTATCGTCGCCCACGTCATCGGAAGTAGGAGCTGCCAGGTTGAACTTGGAAGCAGAAAGCAACGTGATAACGAATCCGAGTGTACCTTCATATTTCGCTTATCCGTGCAGTCCGGCGAGATTGAATCCCGTCCTAATGAATTCGGATTCGCGTAGTCAACAGTCCATGCAGCAGTGTGTAAATGGTCCGGTGAATTCTCAACCGAGCAACGCTGAGGATTGTACACAGGAGAACGCAGCGTACGTTCGTTTTCCGTCGTATTGTCAGGCGGAGAACGCTGTCGGTAGTCCTGCTGCCATTGCAAGACAGAATTACTGTGTTTCTCCTTTGCGACAGGAGCGGAGTTCGGCAACGCTTTCGCCGATTGACACTTTTGAATTTCCACCGATTGTTCATAATATTCCGAGAAGAGGTAATACGCTTAAACCTGAAGTCGACTCGAGCAACTCAAGAGAACGAAAGGTTTTAAGAGATGTTTGTAAGGATGTGGAGTATACAGTTTCCCAGGTGCGCGGACACATGAAGCTTGAGAAGTGTCCATCGAACGATAGATACGGAAAGTACCGTCAGCAAGTATGGAAAGAGAATATGAAGCATGACGATGTAGATGAATTTTTCTCGGTCGTTCATTCAAGTACAACGGAGAAACCGGATGAGATCGAGGTTGGCCGAAATAGCTCTGGTGGATTATTCAAAGTCGTCGGCAAATATGCCAGCGGTTCAAAGCACGATGAGGAACAGCAGAATGAAGAAGAAAGAAGAGAGGAGGACGACGATGAAGAAGAAGCCAGGGACTATTTAGGTTCTCAAGAAAGGATCTTCGTGCGAACGACTTTTGCTTTGTCTGAGAATGCAAAAAGGAAATACAATTTCGTAAAACGCGTTCTCACGGACGTCGCTACAAGTCCTCAATCAAATCCATCCAATAATGTGATAGCGGGGTCCTTCGTTTCTGCCGCGACGAGAACGAATGCCGACTCTGATGTTGAAAGTAAACGTAGATTAGACAGATCGAAGTCGTTAGATTAAATACTGCGTCCGTTTTTATTCGTGCTCTGATTAATGATTCCTCGTCAATCTATCGCTTATTCATGTATATGTTGTTCGTCGTATCTGATCGATCCGTACTCCAGTTAGAAAAAAAAGGAGGCACATGTTAAAGCCATTCATAGAAGTCACTTACGTCGCACGTGCCGATAAAATAGATATGATATTCGAATATGATTTTTAATTGTTTAAATTAAGTATATATGTTCTATCTACTGGGATAATGCGAAAGCGTTTTGCATTTCTCTTTATTTTTCTAAAAATTCATGTAACTTCGTAGCAACTCATGTAATATAGTATTAATTGATGGTTCTTCTTCTCGCTAATATTTATAGACTTTATTATAGGTAGATTTCTCATTTAGTTTTTTATTTTATAATTTTCTTTAGTTTATCGTTAAATATTTAACCATAGGTTATGATACTTTTTACTGTAAGTTAAACTCTTCCGTAAAATTTACTACTCGAAAAAAAAACTTGTGTGTGTAATTTGACAAAATAATATTTTTATTGATTTTTTGGAACAATATTCATATATTTGTTATCCTATATTATTGGCTGTGTGACGTATATGGTGTGTTTCGAAAGGTTACTGGCAAATTTAAGTAGCATGTGGAGAAATAGAAAATAGAACAACTTTCGAATTAAAAATCATTCGAAATAATCCTGGGTTAATAAAAGACAAACATCATCCAATAACTTTTCAACAGTTCACTAGTATCTCGAGGAACAACGTTAATTACGTACATTGCATCATATATTTAGGTCTTCCACGACAAATTCGAATAGCCGCTATCCAAGAGAATATATATAAATAATTACTTGTGCGAAAGAATAATTATCTAAATATTGTTCTTACATTAAAAGGCTTGTGCTGACTGAGACTAATTTGGAAAAACGTGGTTTATTAGTCGAAAGTTGTTCTAGTTTGACCCTTTCGCTAAAATTTGTCGGCAATCTTTTAAAACACTTTGTAGCTATAGAAAATCTTGTATTTGGCTAGTCAAGTTCCCATTTTTCTCAACAGAAGTTCATTGTCCAACTTATTTTTCATTGCCTGTCTATTTGTCTCTGTCTTTCCACACTTTTCCTATTGTCTTTTTCTCTTTATAATCGAGTATACATCTTTTCTTACCATTCCTAAATTTCGACATTAAAAATTATGAACTTAAATTTTCCAACTTTCGGATATAAATTTATTCTTACATATGTATTTTTATCTTGTGCTTGGAGAATAATCCAATGCATATGTATTTATGTATGTATATATATATATTGTACATAGATATACACGTATATACATACATACATACATACATACTAAACGTGTAATACATGAAACATGTTGTCGATATAATTTATTTTCCGATGAAAGATGTGAAAAATTTGAGTCGTAACTTTATTGGCTTTCCAATACGAACATTTGTCTTTACGATTTACCTTATATATATATGGGACCACTGCCCGTAGTGATATATAAGATCAGTCCGAAATAATAAGCTGCGTACAATCTTTTTTTTATAAGCCCATTTATGAATCGTTTAATAGTAAATCGTTGTTTCATTTTATTTATCTCATTACTCATTACGATAATGAGTAATTATGTTGTAAATAATCTATGAAACATTTTCGTTCGTGTTGGTAGTTATTTACGTTACATGTAATGTTACATTGTGTATGCGGAGTTTCTATATTTTAAAGTTGATAGTCATTCATTCGATTTACGCACAAAGTGGAGAAAACAAAAAAAAAAAAGAATCAATGTCGATCTTATATTCAGTCCATTTCACATTCTACGTCGATGTGATAAACGTCATTTTTCTAATCTTCATCTTTGCACAGATCATTATACTTTACGAAACAGATAAATTTTAAATATTATACATATATAACGTTTGAATCCATAGGATAATTTACAATGACTATCTTGTCGTATTTTTTAATAAGAAACAACCAAAAATAATATAAATATATATATTTAAAATAATATAAATATATATATATATTATATTAATATTTATAGATTTCGATGATGGGTAAACGCCGCGTTTCTAATCGGGCTCCTTACGAGAGTTTAGTCTTTACCAATAATGCACGTTATTTCAGTCTTATTAGTATTAAGGACTAAGGAAAGCACATTAAACAATCAATTATCGGAATATTGAAGCGTTAAACCGTCATTTTAAAAGAAGGATTTCTAGTTTGCTTGAGCTATTATATGTAATACACAACGCATAGCGAGACGATATAAGAAGCTAATATCGAAGAAAGCTTCCAATAAAAAATGATTGTACTTATCTACGTAGAAAATAAGAACAGAATATGATTGAGACAAAGATGAAGAGATGACGATTATTATTCGATCGATTGTACAGACCCGAGTACGTTTTCTTATATTCAAATAAATACACGTTCTATTTCTTACTCGCTTACATATCCTTACGTGATCCTAATCTATATAAGATCGCAATAAACATGCGATTGCGTAACGTTAACGCAATGATTATCATGTATTACTGCTGAAGAGTAAAATCTAAAATTGATTATTTTATTATATATACATACATACAAACATATATGTATATATATATTGTATTAAGTAAAGCAATTAATTCGATGCCTTTTAAACAAATTTATTATCTATTTATAAATTAATCGTACATCTGTCATTCTTCGAAATAATCTTCATTATTTTCGATAACTTTGGTCCATTTTTCAGGCAACTGCCGAATACTTTGACGATTAAAAAAAAGTAGATGGCGATTTTGATGGAATGAATTTAATATGAAGGTATCGAATTAATTGCTACACCTTATATATATATATATATATATATATATATATATTAATACGAGATACGCTATTATAAAATAAGTATTACGACGTCCATCAGGGAATAATGTATTATGTATGTATATCGAGCGATGCCAGAAAGTCGGCTTCTACAGTGCCACGTTCCGACGTGTTTTGTTTTTCTCAATGAGATTTCAAAAAACGGAACATAGAAAATGAAGTATGAGCAATATTTAAAGAAGAAGGAAAAAAATGAATAAGAAGAAAGAAACGCTATGACGTGCCACCGTCTTTAACTTTAAGTTCTTGTACGTAATAGTGGTCCAAGATAAGCGTACATACGTGCCAATAGCGTCAAGTTTGTTTAGATAAGAACGTACCAGTTAAGATGAGATGAAAACAGAGATCTCATTTTTGCAAATATATATAAAGAAAGCGAATATAAAATGATATAACACACGCATATGGACAGATAAATAAATACGTGAGTGGGTTGAACAATTTTGAAAATAACATACAAAAAAGAAATGTGTTCTTTCGGTCAAATATTTTTATTTAAAAAAGAAAAATAAAAGTTGTTCTTTTTTTGTTAAGGTTCAAAACTTTTCAATCCATCCTCGTACATATATAAACACACAGACACACATGCAAAAGTATATATATATATATATATGCGTGTGTTACACATAGATATGAAATATACATACAATATTTTTTGTAATCGATTCTAATTTATTAAAATGGGTTTGTTCAATGGCCCCCGCAAGATATATATTCGCGGAAAAAGCATATTTGCGTAATCACATATATACGGCGCACAGTGTGTTCAAATTCAGAAAACGGGGCCAAAATATGAAGATGTAATTTAATTTGTTTGAAGATAAGAATTTTTGGGGGCTTTTGGGGGTCTCTGATGATGAATTTGATATTATATTTTTGAAAAACAAAACGGCGGATACAAATTCGAGGATAATTTGGATGTCATTATCACTGAAAGTAAGATTATATGTTTATTAATTGATATTATGACGGGTATAACAACAATAAGAAATGTTTAGAAATAAAAAAATAAATGTTAAATGTTAACAATTTTAATGTTTAAAAATGTCTTTTTTTTTTAATTATCTTTATATTTGTTTATGTTATATTCATTTGTAATTACATTTATTCGTAATTACATAAATTAGAGGATACACTTTACGACTGAGCATGTGCTTTTACACTGTACATTTGTGCATTATCGTAAAAAGTCATGGATACAAGCTAAATTAGTAGCTAATTGGTAGCTAATTTTTTGATATTTATTAGTTAAAGGTTCAATAAAAATAATTTAAAGCTAATGAGAGCATCCGGTGTTTTTCGGATTTTAAATTACAATTAGAGTATTCTTTGAATAGATATTTTTAATATCACATCGAGACGAAAAACATTTAACAATATACTCTTTATTAGAGATTACATTTGTTATTTATGTAAATTTTAAACAATATAATTTAATTCTACTTACTGTCAAGCACGAATATACTATATTTATATTTTGAAATCGGTCAAATATTAATTTTATTCTGCTCGTTTAAAATGACTGTAATGTCAGACGTGCAATGTGCTCGACGTTCACGTTTGAACTGCGTTTTACAAACGTGCATAAACACTTGTCCATAACAAATGATTGAAAAAAGCGCTACAAGATCCACTAAATATATTTTTAGGTTTAAAAAAAAAAAATTTCAAAGAAAGGTTTTCCTTTTATTTTGGTCAGATTTTCGGGGTTTGAGACCACTGTGCGGCGCCTTAAATTTGGCCGCGGCGGATCCTTAGAGATTTCCAATATTACTAAATATATTTTGTGTGCGTGCGTAACCTACGTGTTATAACAATAGCTTTAAAAAGGATAAACAAAAAGAAACAAAAAAAAGAAAAGAAAAGAAAGGAAAACTAACAATAAATCTAGATCCGTGACGATCCTCTTCATCGTAACGTACAAAATTCGCGTGATGTATCGCGCGAAAAAGAAGTGTATTATAAATGCGAAGAATTTGAAAAGAAGATATAAGCGAATTAAATAAATAAATAAATAAAAAAAGAATAAAAAGAAAAGGGAAATAATATACGGAGCAAATATTGTACCTAACGTGGTAGAACGTCTTAATGAAATAAAAACACGGAATATTTATTCACATAAAGAAAGAAAGAAAAAACGATATAAAAATTACGCGTACGCGTGCTCGTGCGTACGTGTAATAACATATATATTATTATGCATATTTATTCATCATATCTTGATTTTGAATCCTTTTTTTTTTTTTGAAAGAATTTCGACGTTGTTTATATTATGATAATATATAATATTCGTGAAAGGATATAATCTCATTAATTGAATTAGCGTAAACATGAATTCTTTCGATTTTCAACGTCGAATTTCATTCTGACCTAATTAATAATTACTATCACGTATTTATTCCGTCACCAGTCCCCTCTCTCTCTTCTCCACCATTTTCTATTCAAATATTATTTCCTTCCACCTTCTCTTCGAAAAATCCAAAATAATTGAATTATTACCAAGAATAAATTTATTCTCGTTACCATTATCGATCAATTTAATCGATTAACTATCAGATCTTTTTTAAGATATAAATTATCGTACGTAATCGTCATCGTGAATAGCATTCGCGGGAATATACATGAATGTTTTCCTCGTAAAAGATGGCAGCTCTTGTTTAACGATCACCTTTCTAGAAATCAATATAGAGAAATAAAGAGAGAGAGAGAGAGAAAGAGAAAGAGAGAGATACAGAAAGAGAAAGAGAGAGAGAGAGAGATCGTGGTAGAGGGCGACTTCGTTGTTAGTAGCTACGGCAGTGGTGGAGGAGGTGGTGGTGTTGCTGGTGCTGCTATCGTAAAAGCATCCCCCATGCAGGTCGTCGAACAGCCGTCAAAAGCGAGACGTGTACGGTTTCGCGGCCACATTGGCAAAGAGAGAAGATGCCATAACCATTGAAAAGTCGGACATCTCGGAACGTAATCTTTCTTTACCCTAATTCTTGAATCCTGTCCTTGTTCTACTCACCCTATATATTCGTTTCTTATTTTCTTAGATTGAATCTTTCCCTTTGTCAATCTGTCTTTCTCTTTCTCTCCCTCCTCCCTCAATTTCTTTCTTTCTCTTTCTCTCTCTCTCTCTCTCTCTCTCTTCATTTATCTATCCTACCTAGATATCTTTCCATCTCGCTCGTTTGCCTCGTCGTTCAACCCCCGATGGTGAATCAATAATTAAAGTGACAAAGTGCGGTGATTGCGCGATCGTATTAGTTCAAGATGTCGGTTAAGGTGAGTCCTGAAGGGATCGTGCAGAACAAACTTCATCAAAGTCAACGTTTTTCTTCAATAAAAATCTTTCTTTATTTTCGCACACGTCGAAATAATGAGGGACGAGTCGACTCGACTTTTATCGAATACGTTTTTTTACAATAGTTTTCTTTTTCGATCTTTTGTAATATATATTACGTGATATTATTCGTTCGATGTTTTATATATTTTTATTTTTATTTTTATTTTTTAAGAGTCGATATGGTTTTATTCTTTTTCAAGATTCGCGCGCTTTTACTTGGATAATATATGACAGTTCGATTATGCTTTTATTATTTTAATAAGGATACTCTTGTGTGTGTGTGTGTGTAGAGGATATTATGTTTACTCGTACAATAATCCCCATGGATTGTTTCTCTGTTTCTTAATTTTCATCATTTTTACATCATTTTTCATTCTGCAAATAATAAAATGCTTACGTAACAAATAATGACACTGTATGTGTATATACATATATGTATTTTTCTTAGACATTGAAAGTTATGAACATATGTTCGAGAGTTGATATATATGTTGACAAATCTGTTGTTACCTTTAAATAATTGATTTTGTCAATTGCATACAAACATCTAAGTTTATATTGATATTAAAGAAAGTTGACCATTTATAAAAAAAAAAAAAACGAACTTTAAGAATAAATAATGTATTATTTATAATGTTCGTAATTATTTTTTATAGAAATTGTGTAAAAATATGAAAGGTGGTACCATTACTTGTGTTCTAATCAAACGAATACTTTATGTGTCGTTTCGTGCCTCGATCGCATTAACTTCGACAATCGTATTAAATAATGCCCTACATCACTATTCAAGTGACTACATAAAGTAGTCACGTTAAACTCATTTTATTACTAGACGCAAATGGTCTAATTTGCGGCACGTCAATTTCTTCAAACAGATAAATATGTGTATGTGTATAGAAGTTTCTATTCTTCTTCAATCTGTCAAATATTTGTGTACAAGTTAGCTGATTTAAAATATCTTACTATTCAATAAAATACATATATCATTTATCCAATAGAAAAATTTCGTATAAACCCCTTCGTGAAATCAAATTTCTTTTTATTATATGATTCTCCCCTTTAAAATAAGAACGTTTTATTTATCATAACTATTTGATTCGTACAAATTATTCTAAAAAAAAAAACAGCAGATATAATGTTACGCATCTCGAACGTTATCGATTAGCGTCATTACTTCGATGCTCCCACTTTTTTTTTTCCTCTCTCTCTCTCTTTCTCCCTCCATCATTCGTAAATTTAATTGAATTTAAGAGGAACGTACGAAATATATTTGATATATATATATATCAAAGTACGAAATACCTTTAATGACATTAACGGGTGCCACAAGTGTCCGTTTCCTGCTTGCTGTAAAATACTTATATACATTTATCTATGCTATGTATGTATACTAAATACAAATATAGGCTAGTAGAAAGAAAATAGCAGCGGGTGGTTCGTTGGTTGGTTGGTTGCATACGCATATATTAATGCATAAACCCACGCAAGCAATGAAGACACGCGTGCTCTTTTGCGGCGCGTGCGCGTCCGCATTGAATCTCGCGTGTGTCGTTCGATGCTCGTCGCAGTTTTCGTTTATACATCGAGCTAGTTGGTTTCTATACGTTTTCGATCCCTAGATACGTTTCGTCAGTTTACCGATTGTGAAATATTAAACACTATTTTCGCGGGAATTTGAAAACAAACGGTAGAGAGTGTTTGTTCTTCGTTCGGTCGTTTGTGTCTTCTGTAAAATTCATTTATTAGTTTATCGAATGTTATCGATTTATCATCAACCTCGTGTATCGATTCATTCTAGTTTTATTATCATGTGCATCGATTTATCTAATTAAAAGCTTTTTATTATATTACGAATTTAATTAGAACGTTTAGATAATTGTCCACGATAAAAGGTTATTATTATTTTTTTCTAATATATAGTTTATACAATTATTTGCAACTTGTTTTCGAATCCTTAAAACAAGAAAATTCGATACAAATATTGCTTATTGTTAATGTTTTACATTTTCTTTTTTGTTTTTTTTTTCTTTTCATTAAGAAGTTATAAATAAAGCATTCATTTTTTGATCTCTTTTTTATTTTTATCTACGTATTACGCGAGCAGAATGTCTTACGATGGAGTACTTTTCGAAACACAACAGTTTTAAATTGAAATTTAGTCATTAATCGTAAGATTCTTCGCGTTAAAGATAACATTCGTTATAACAAATAATTATTATAACGAAATAAACCAAGTATCATTTTAAGGATTTGAAAAGGCAGAGGTCAAGCATTACAAACGATAAGAACAAATGATGGCCCATATTCGTTTAAGTATCATTAATTAAATTTATGTAAGAGATTTTCATATTAGAACAAATAAAGTAATCGTACGATTGGAATTTTCAAGAGAGATTGCACACTCTTGAATTATATTATTTATTTAAAATAATATATTTTATATGATTTAAAAATAATGTGCATAGAAAAATGAAGGAAAGTCGAGGATCGTAAAGATAATATTTTATCTAGGGATCTCGATAAGAATAAGATTTATAGTAAGAACGATAAGATAATCATAGTAATGCGATTTCTTATGCATTACATTATCTTTCCCATTCAATTCGATGTTGTTTTTTTTGTAAGATCAATACTTGATATCATTCGATAGAATTTTTATTTACTATCTATTTTAACGGTGTCCATGGGCGACGAGTGATAACGAGTCCGCGTATCGATCATTCGAACGAGTTCTTGCAAAATTAATTTTACTTAAGCGTAGAAAGTATTACTTTGAGATAACACCTTAATAAATAAAATCAAAGTTTAATATTAAAAGGTCTATATCTTTTTTTTCCGTTGACAATTCAATTATTTTTAGATACAAACTTTTACGAGATTATCAAAATAAATATAGAAAGATTAAGTTTTGTATACGTGAGAAATTAGATTAAAAATATATACACATAAAAATATATATGATACATACACATATCCAATTCGTTACTTTGTTTGCGAAGCGGTGCACATCTGTTGTTTCGTATATTATTTTTAAAATCACATTTACTATTTGCAACACATGAAATTGTGTCATGGTTCATTCGTTTGTTTGTTTGTTTGGTTTACGCTGACAATGAGACATTATGTCGAGGATATATATTCAACCAAGAGCATCGTAGAACACTGTCACGTTTAATGCAAAATTGTCTTTTTAATTATCTCTCTTGTATTCTAGTATATTTCTTATAGCGACAACTCTCTTTTCTTTTATTTTATTGTTAAATCAATCTCTACGAAATAGTTTATTTTTTTATATGCATATTTAAATAAGGTTAAACTGATTTCTTGAAAAAGTGAAACATGAAATATCATGTATTGTTATGTTCCGATTTGATACGTGTGTATGTTCATAAATATATAAGTTTACGTATTTAAATACGTACATGGTCAATTATTTTCTTACGTATGAGTAGATGGAATAATTTTTATACCGGTTCAAAATAATTTCTACACATGAAAAAACATTTATCGAAATAGCGAGGGCTTTTAGTGAAGCTTACGTACTAATGATAAGATAAATAAGTAAATCTCTCATATTGTATAAATTAATGTTAAATTGTGGAAACCATAGGTTTTATTTGAAATATCTAAGCATTTTTGAAAAAAACATACAAAACGAATTTTATTATACTTAACAAGTTGTTTCATGAGATAACTAGATGAAATATAAATTTACGCGAGTGTCGAGTAGTTATAATGTGAGATTGAAATTTGATCCTTTTTCTACAAAAAGTTTTTATCTTTTCCTGTATTTTAAAAACTAATGTTATATTAATCGTGCTGTTCTATCGGATCTATTTTACGAATCAAAATTTAATTTTATACTACTCGCCTTTTGTAAATTCATATATTATCTAATTGAAGTATTTCTCATTCTGCTTTCTTTCATATTGAAAAACAGGTCAATATAATTACTTCATGGTTTATAGTTAATCATTTCGCGAATTAACGGATTTCACAAAGTAATGCCAATATATTATAATACTTATTATATTATATTTTTTATATTGTATTATATATATACATATTATAAAATATATTTATCTTTTTATAGAGATTGAATGAAACGATATACAAACTCATCATGATTACAGAAATCGGTATTCGATTTAAATTATAAAGTATTTTTTAATGAACTATGCCATATAGTATAATACTCGAACAATGAACAATACAGAAAAGTACGACGCGTCCCATAGGGTACTTCGAGCTCGTATACGTTACAGCAGATACGGAGATTTATATTTTTAGACTACGTTTAAATTAGATCAAGTCGCTGTAAATTTGGCGTTTTCGTGAACTGCCAAAAACCCAAACGCCGTATGTGGTTTTACATTATCGGCATTTTCGATAACGACATAACGATTTGTATTTTTTTAAAAGCTTATAAACATTTATAAAAAACAAGGAACGAACTTGAAATGCGTTTATTTTGATTCGATTAATCATCTCATGTTCGTATGGGAAATAAATTCGATTTTATAAGTTATTTGCTTTTCTGTTTCTGTATTTTTGTTGTTGCTGTGATTTCTATTACTCTCCGTCACAAATAAATTGTAATAAAATTTTCAAACTAGCATTTGACGAGGAAGTAATATTTATTCACGAAACGATGGAATCGTATTTTTGTATCTTTCTCTATTTTTACTCAGTAAAGCGTTTTGTCTCGAGTTTACATTAGTAGGAATATTGAGAAATCTCAAACGTATTATTTCTAATAACGATCGTTCTATTTTAAGATGAAACTATAGATTTTGCGCTTATCTTTGTTCACAGGATTTGCGTCTATATCGTCAAAGATGAAATACTGAAGCTCCGAAAGAATATCTTTATATTTTTTTCTGCAATTATAGAATCTTTCTGTTGAGTCTCAAGTACTATTTATTTATTTTCTTTTTCTTTCTTCGCTTTTTTTTAATTTTCAAGAATTTACGCGGTAGTTTAGTATTACAAAGTACTCTACAAAAGTTATTTGTTTTTTAATGGAATTAAATATACGGTTAGCGTGTGTTGAACCGAAAAATCTTCGATTACGTCGTGTATTTACGTATTGAAATTCTTTCAGATGACGAGGTATAAACAAGCCGAGTTTGAAGACGAGGACAGCAGCAGCATTGGTTCTGTTGCATTAAATAGCGAAGGCATCAGTACTTCAGCCACTCATATTAGGTATTATTCGGTAAGTTTAGTGAAAATAAAAATAATTATTTCGATGATTTAAACTTCAATATTTATTGTATCGAAGATACTCGCAAGAATACAGTAAGAGATCGTAGAATATAAATTGGACGTTAACGAAAGTATCGAGTTTTTTGCGCATTACAACGTTATTTCTATTACAAATTACAATTTAGCATCGAATTGAAAACGGATATTGAATAATTTATATGCAGTGAAAATGATGCAATCGTTCTTTCTATATTCTTCGCTCTATATTTGTCGATTTCATTCGTGGAAGAAGAAGAAAACATTAGAATGTTTTCTTCTCGTGTTAGGGCAAGCCAGCAAATTTTTAACATTTTTTATGCGATCGAATTATTATAAAACTTGATTATCTATAACTACATTTTTCTTATCTTGTTTCTTAATTATTTGTTTATATCGATATGTAGGGTACAACATTATGGAGAGCAAGAAATACCTTAGAGAAGTGTCTTTTTATAATATGTACTTGTCTGCTATTGATGGTAACGGTACTGTCGATTGTAATCAGCGGTAAAAGCGGTTGGAACAAAGGACAATACGTACACCTCGGGTTTCACGATGAAAGTAAGATATTATATTATCATTATCTTCATTATTATTATTATTATCATCTTATTATTATCATTATTATTATAATATTATTATTAGAAAACTCTTATAGTGTTCAAAGAGTGTATGAGGAGAAACTTGCATTTTCCTTTTTTATTAAATAAACGTGATCTAATATATATATTACGTAGATAAGAAATAAATTTATAATGAATTGATTGGTTTATTATATATATATATTATCCTTGATAATAATGATAAATTCTAATTAATTTATATATTACAGATACTAGTTATTGTCTCACGGAACACTGCGTGACAGTTGCTGCGACGATTATAAACAGTATAGATCATTCCGTGAAGCCATGCGACGATTTTTACGAGTATGCCTGTGGCGGTTGGATAAAAAAGAATCCTATGCCAGATGGGAAAAGCACATGGGGAATATTTGGAAATATGGAACAGCAAAATCAACTTGTGATTAAAAACGTTCTCGGTAATTTAACTTCAACGATATATAGTTATGCATTAAATTTATCGATTAATGTGACCGATTATAGAGTAAATTATTATCTGCTTACGAATTGAGAATTTTTTTTAGAGAAGCCTTTTAGCGAAATGAAATCTAAAGCGGAGAAAAAAGCAAAAAATTATTATCTGTCTTGTATGGACGCTAATGAAACTGTCGAGGCTTACGGAGCTCAGCCTTTGCTTGATCTATTGGATACTATCGGTGGTTGGAATATTTCTGGGAACTTTAGCATCGAACGTTGGTCTTTACAAAATAGTATGCATATATTACAAAATGTTTATAACATGGGCGGATTGTTTTCTTGGGCGGTAAACGAGGACGATCGTAATAGTAGCAGATACATTATTCAGGTTAATATTATATATAAGATGATATATTGTCGAGAAACATTGATTTTTAATGTTAATATAATAACGATTTTTTTCTTATCCAAAAATTTGTAATATTATTACTAAGTTTAATTCTTAGGGATGTTATTTTTTGGACAGGTTTAAAATTAGATGAACAATATGTTTATCCGTTGAACGTTTCGTCTCTACTTGAGACTTCCTCAGCAACTAAAATTTTTTCATTATGACATATTTTAGCAATAATAAATTTTTGATGAATTTTGATTTAAATGAAATATTATAGCAATAATAAAAAATTTTAGTTGCTGAGGAAGTCTCAAGTAGAGACGAAACGTTCAACGGATAAACATATTTGTTCATCTAATTTTAAACCTGTCCAAAAAATAACATCCCTAAGAATTAAACTTAGTAATAATATTCATTTTTAATATTGAACAATTTTTCTTTCCTTTTGTTTTTTTTTACTCTCTTTTTAAAGATCGATCAAGGTGGGCTCACTTTACCAACGGCTGATAATTATTTGAATGTTACCGAACATGGTAAAGTATTGTCGGCTTACTTGGAGTACATGACGAAGGTACGTAATCGTTCTTGTAAATACAAAAAATATGTGTTTTGACTAAATTAAGTAAAGATATTCGTTCGTAGATAGGCGTGTTACTTGGGGGAGAAGAGAATTCGACTAGACGACAGATGCAGGATGTAATAGCTTTCGAGACAAGATTGGCAAATATTACTACACCTCAGGAGGAACGTCGAGACGAGGAAAAGCTTTATCATTTAATGTCGTTGAGCGACTTACAACGCAAGGCAAATTTCGTGAGTACGATTATTTAGATTGACAACGTAGAGCTTCAAAATCTTATGGCGAACGTATATATTGCGTCAGATGTCATGGGTGGACTTCTTCCAAAATGCCACGCGCATAGTTAACAAGAAGATTAATAGCAAAGCGATGATCGTTAATTTTGCTCCCGATTATTTCGCTAAATTGACGGATTTGGTGCAGGAGTACAACAAAACTAATGATAAAAAAATGTACGTATATGATGACTTCTTTTCTATATGTTATTTTATTCGAACGTTGACTAGAAAGTTGGCGTGATCGTTTAGAAAAATAATTCAAGGAAGAATATACTGTTAAAATACACGATTAGCAAAAACTTATTTGAGCATTATTTAAAAAAGGGGAACGCGATTCGAGACATACCACTTTTTGTATTGCCATCCTTCTCTACCTTTTTTTTCCGCAGAATACTGAATAACTATCTGGTTTGGCAGACCGTGAGGTCCCTGACGGTGTTTCTTTCGAAGCCATTTCGCGATGCTTACAAGGTCTTGAGGAAGGCTCTTGTCGGCTCAGAAGGGAGGGAAGAACAATGGCGCTATTGTGTTACTGATACAAATACTCAAATGGGATTTGCGGTTGGTGCTATGTTTGTCAGGGAAGTGTTTCACGGGAAAAGCAAACCTATGGTTCGTTTTCATCAAATTCGATCTAATATTTTCATAGAATTTATTTATTTTTATTTATATTATATAGACATTGTTTTACTCTATCTTGTTATTATTATTATTATAATTATAAATGATATGATTAGATAAATTATATATGAACGAAGGAATTGTATAAATCACGAAAAAAAGTTATTTAAATATTTTGAAGTGATCGTTAAACAATTTCAATGATGGATTTTAGGCGGAACAAATGATCAATGAAATACGTCAAGCATTTACAAAGAATTTGAAAAATCTTCAATGGATGGATGCTGAAACAAGGAAGGCAGCGGAGGAAAAGGCTAATGCGATTACCGATATGATCGGTTTTCCAGATTTTATTTTGAACCCCATTGATCTTGATGAACGATATAGGGATCTCTTGATTAAACCAAACGAATACTTCCAGAATAACATTAGAGTGAGCAAGTACACATTAAAAAAAGCTCTCGAAAAACTTGATCAAACTGTAAATAAAACTGCTTGGATTATGTCTCCGTCGATGGTGAATGCTTATTACACACCAACGAAAAATCAAATCGTATTTCCCGCTGGAATTCTTCAAAGTCCTTTCTATGACATGGAGAATACCGATAGCCTTAATTATGGTGGTATTGGCGTTGTAATGGGTCATGAACTCACTCATGCTTTCGATGATCAAGGTGTGAATATTTGATCAATTATTTATTTTAATCGATTATATCAATTGTATATTTAAAGCACTTTTATTAGGTGTAGCAATTTATTCGATGTCTTTTTAACAAATTTATTATTTATTTATAAAGTGTAATCATATATTTTGTTGTTATTCTTCAAAATAGTCTTTTTGTCTTTCAAACAAAATACTGTATTATTTGACGACGAAAATATTGCGATTTAGATGCAATAAATTTAATATCAAAGCACCGCATTAATTGCTATATCTTATATTTATTTGTTCAGTATTTTAAGACATTATTAGTCATATTCTGTGTTTAGTATAAATAATAATTTATCTATATTTTAAATGAATGGTCAAGTAGAAAAGTGCCGATATTTTATTTGTAAATATTGAGCCTTTATTTAAAATACTGACTCAACTAATAGGAGCCGATTAATAGTGATTATTAAATCTATTGGTAGATAAAAATACAAATTACAAAAAAGAAAAGTATTTCTTTATATTATTATATAAATAATATTAAATTAAAAATTGCAGGTAGAGAATATGACTTGCATGGTAATTTGAATAGATGGTGGAACAACGATACAATAGACAGGTTCAATAACAGAACTGAATGCTTTGTAGAGCAGTACAATACGTATGAGGTACAAGGTCGTCACGTGAATGGACGTCAAACTTTAGGTAATTTTTAATACCTGTGGATACTTATCGTTTGTATGAAACATAAAAATCTCGTATTATATATTATTAAATATATGTACATGTCACACATATGTTTTTGCCCTTATTTTATTTTTAGGAGAAAACATTGCCGACAACGGTGGACTCAAGGCAGCGTATCACGCTTATTTAGCAACAGTTAAGAATGAAAAAGAACAATTGCCATTACCTGGTCTCAACCTAACGCATCGTCAGTTGTTTTTTATCAATTTTGCTCAGGTAAGAAACGAATAATTTTCGCGTATATATGCACGTACATGAATGACTATTATCGTGAGCGTATAGTTTGAGTAATTTCCAATATGGCGTTTCAATTACATTTACTTATTTTATTTTATTGTTCTATCATTAAATCTCCATGACTTACAATATATTAAACAATTTATATTACTTTAGATTAGAGAGATCTTACGAGAAAATTTAATAAATTATCTTTTTCCAATCGTGTGTTATATTTACAATGTTTTCAACCGCATAGATATCAATTACAATTTTATCGACAGGTATGGTGTTCTGCTGAAACTTCTGAGTTGACAGCCCTTCAAATTGAAAAGGATTCTCATTGTCCACCGAAATATAGAGTGATAGGACCTCTGTCGAACATGGTTGAGTTTTCAACTGAATTTAATTGCCCAACAGGTTCGAGAATGAATCCGGAATCGAAATGCGAGGTTTGGTAACGTACAGGAGTTAAAAGCGGTTCAACATCTATCTTGTTTGATGGAATATCCTTGTTATATGTAACACCGTGCGAATCTATCGTCGAACTTCTTTTCAGAAAAATTTCTTTAAATGTCAATCGACGAAGAATTCGTCTTAACGTGAATTCAATGAACTTGTGAGTTACTAGTATCACCGTCAGAATCATCGATAATAAGGCCGATCGTTCTTTTTTTTTCAAAAGTTATCGACGAGAAAGTTACGAGCGGTCTCGTAAGAATCGTTAAAAATAACGGAAAATCTTATGATCTTGAAATATATGTAAATATGCATCTTAAAATGTATGCAGTAAATCACAAGAGTATTCCTACCCGTTCCCACGATAAATTTTAAATAATTAATATTTACTTGTAATGCAAACTTTCAAAATTCCTGTATATAGAAACCAATTTTAAGATATTATTTGATTGCAGAATAATATATTTTATTGTTAGAAAAAAATATAATTTTACTTAAATATAATCAAAAATTGAGTATTTTTATCTACATAAGACACAATAAAAATAACAATTATTATGTTTGTAAAAGTAGTACTTAGTTGACCCTTTTCTTGCATCTCGTAATGCTTTCCAGATGATTAAGCTTATTTTGTGAAATATTTTTTAATCAGTTATATCAAATTTTACTTGTTTTATAATAATATGCTCATTTGCAATAAAATCTATATCAATTTAAAAGTTTAATTAGCAAAAAATATTAATTTGTACATAATAATTTTGAAATATTGTATTACAAGAAAATATTGATTGTTTTAAATTGACAGTGGAGGTACGAATACGCTTGTGATTCATTGTATATATTTATCTATGTATGTACGTCGGCACAAATGGATGACGAACAATGAGCTTGGCTCCGTTTATACGGCTTACAATAATTATCTGTATTTGAAGATGGTTACTACTATTTCCATGCGAATCAAATTCGTCCAATAGTATTCCGATCCTTTTGAATCGTTGATTGGCTGCGAGGAGATTAGAATGCCTAATAAGTAACTGTTGATTAGTCGAAAGTCGACGAATTATAATAATAATAATAATAATAATAATTTTTTTCCGCAAAGTGTCTTGCGACTAATCGATTCAACGATTCGAATGTATCGAGTAGTATTCACATAATATTGGTTCTTTGCAAATTTCATCATGAACTCGAGATAGTTTAAAAACTCGAGATAGTTGAAAATTGGCTTAGAACCATTTTAACGAATTATTAGCTCTTCTTAATTGAATTATATTTGATAATTGCATTGTTAGCTCGAATATTTCACAAACATTTTACTTTTCAATGCATTTGCGTCCACGGTTCATCGAGATCAACGATCGAGATGAAATAATCAATCCAAGAAGGTTTATCAAACGAAAACAGATCCTTTTTCACTTTTATACTCGAAATAATTCTCGGTGCTATGCATTAAAACACTCGACGAATGGACCTTTTTAATTTTACTGCTTTTACAAATGAAATTATTTTAAATATTGTTATATTTCTATTACCTATCGTATATACTACTTGCGTGATCTCTTGTCGCTTTTACAATCGTGTAACATTTGATTTATTTTGATTATTTCTTTTCTTTTTTCATTTTTATTTTTTCAATCACGTTTGAGATACACTTGCTCTCGATCAGACCCAACGATCGATGTTGTCGATGGACCGAGGAAGAGACATACCATTGTGGTGCCATAATTTTGTGGCAGGCAGGATCTAGTATTATATTTAAGAAATTTATTTTATGTATAAAGCTAAGAGAATACTTATCTAATATATAAAGTATAAGATCGAGGGGGGTTAGGGAATTTGGTGATATTGGAAGAATTTGGAGATTCAAATCGTAAAGAGATTATAGATACGTTTGAAAGAAAACAAATATTTTTAATGTATTATTCAAACGTTGTTTCGTTATAATGGTATATTTCGATATACGGCGTTTGAACGAATCAAATATACGATTTTTTCGTGCGCAAAATATGAATGATTGCAAATCAAAGTAGACAAGAATGAACAAAATAGTACGTTTATCAATGATAGTTCATTTGTTGTTTCGTAGCAAAAATCGATTAAATGTGTCTACACGAACAAAAAATATTATTTTATTCATTCGAAGAGTAAACTATGAAAGAAATCGTTGTTCGTCACAAATTATCTCATCGTTAGACATTAATTTTAAATTATGATGCATTACGCGAAGAGAACAAGTAACAATAATCATAAGATCGATCAATTTTTCATAGATTTGTTCCAAATAAATAGTTCCTTTACTGTTATTTTCTTCAAATAGTATTTTTTCGCAATTGATTAATAGAGAACAAAGAATTATAACACATGCGGAAGTTGTTTAAGAAAATAAATTATTTTATATCGCGAGAAGAGAGAGAGTTAGAATTATCCGTAAGCAGATCGAACTGCGAGAGAGTTGATAAGACAGTATTAATACAGTACCTAACGATAAATCCATAGGCGATAGGTGGTGTTTATAGTGAACAGCAATAATCGATTACGTGGTAGCCAAATTGAACAAATGATAACTGTAAACAATTAAAAAAAAAAACAAAAAAAACTGTAATCAAACAGTATAATGATACTTCCTGGCTTGTCCACGATTATCGGTTGGTGCATATTTGGTATGATGGTTGATACATTACTGGATGAAAGATGATAGTTACTAAATAGTAAATTATTCTATTTGCGCAGCGATGATCACTTATCTAATGTTCGGTGCAGGTTGCATGTATGACCAGCGACGTAACTTACAAATACGTTAGCAGGATGTCAAGGATATTTTTATGCTTAATTAATTATCGTTGATTCTAGTCGGTAAAAAAGGTCACTAAAAGTTATGTATACATACATGCATATACACACATACACACATTTACTTTCAGCCATATTTGTACATTGCCATACAAGTTTTAAAGAAGAAATAAAAATATTAACTTGTGTCTAATTTTGTTTGTTTGAAGTATATTAATAAAAATAAACATCAATCCCCTCCCATTACGCTATAAATCGAAGAAAATGGCACATTCGAGTAAATGTTAAAAAAAGCCTCACAGCAGCGTTTAGGGCATGAAGAAAGAAGAGGCTAAATGCCGAAGAGGCCCCCACAAATTTGTGGTATCAAGTGGGCAACTACATAGACTATTGAGTTATTTTCAAAAGTTCAACAGCAAGTTAAAACTTTTCGAGAATAGCTCTCTAATCATATTTTATTATATTACTTTTTTGCTCGTCATTAATTTGTAGTTGTAATTGGAGATGATGGACCATTCTATCTCCTTGGGACACCAAATTCGTGTCTATATCGTCCAAAAGATGCATATATGTTAGTTACAGTCGAAAATATTAAAATTTTCGTAATATTAAATTTTGAAGCTTAAATAACGTTTAGTTATTAAATATTACAGTAATTTCTTTTTTCTTGTTTCGTCTTTAAAATTTGTCAGTTTGATCGTATTTTATTAAATTTGCAATTTTTCTTTTCTATATAATGTAGCTTGAAAGTATTTCATAATAATTAATATTTTTTGTAGTAACTTAATATTTGTACTTTTCCTATTTCTTTATTTTTATATATTTTATGTCATTGTAAAATCACGCGTCTTTAAATTTAATTTCATTACAACGGTAAATAGAGATTTGATAAAAATTAATAAAAAATTTAGTTGAAAAGTGGATCTGCGAATGGGACGATTTATATGTTAGGCTATTGTATCACTTGATTGTATGATTAATATAATTTTCTTTTTGTTACAGGTGATCATCGTTGGATTTATCATTTACTCGTTTTGATTTTCTTCTACTTTTTAAAATATATATTTATAAAAAACGCATTTCTGAAGGCACACACGTATTTAGACACTAAAAATTAAATATAATTATTTAAAATATTCTTACAATATAACTATGAAGAATATTGTATTCTTTGATAGTATATGATATATTCTTTGATAGTTTGTATCGTCATCGTGTTAAGTATCTATTCTCGCCCACTGGTGGTCCCGGTACTAACTAAGAGGATTTTAGTTATTCGAATAGGGGACTTGTGTGCTTTTTATGTACTCCTGTTTTCTTTGATAAATCATTCATGGTTTCCTTATTAACCGAATCTTTGTATCGGTATAGAGGAGAGCGCAAGGTAGATTAACCGTCGATAATGCGAAGATTTCCTGCTGCTTGTTTTCCTAGAAAAGTAAATCTTTTCCTTCGTTATAAGAATTCGTTTTGTTCGTCGACGTCGATAAAATATAGAATATCTAGTGGCTGAAATTTTCCGACCAGTAACACATGAAATTGTTCCCTGTGATCGTATTTGCCATTTGTACAAAATATTTTCAAGAACGCATATTAATGCACTAAACACAATAGCAATTGAAAGTATTAAAAATACGACACGTATATGACCATATTCGACTGCACGAAAATCAGTCCATTCGGATTGTCCTAAAGTGTTGTCCCATTCTCTTTTGAGCCATTTTTTTTCAAGGTAATCTAAAATACCGACCGAACGGAGACGGATTAAGCTAAAACATAATATAAAAGTATGTATAGGTTGATATACTGATTTTATGTTACCTTTGTTGCTTCTAAATATAATTTTTAAAGTGTTCAATTAATGACTTAATAATGAAAATAAATTTTTATAAATATTTGGAATAAAAAATAAACGAGTAAAAAAAGAAAGGTAAATATAAAAAAGACAACTCACTATAAATCGATGACCTTTCTATATTCCGAAGATCTGGCGTGTTGAAAAGCTAGTTTTAAGCTCCAATATTCTTCAGGTAATCGTACGTAGCGACATTGGTTTATTACTGGTAGATAAATTGATAGAAAAATGTCTGGACCTTCTAAATAAACAAAACCAGGATCACATAGTTTTGAACCGATTGTATGAATGTCCATTGTATCAGGACAATTCTTGTTCACTAAATTCTTCCATTTCGGCAATAATTCCTCATTTCTTATGCCGTCCTATAATGTAAATAGAACTAATTTTGTTATATCTCTTTTCTTTCTCACATTTAATATTTATTTATGTATATAAGTACCACTGTGAAATGAATGTAAGCACCGCTATCGTTTCTCACACATAGAATATGGGTACGTTTGTTGGCAATATCTTCTAAACTAGTAATTGGTACGGACGTTATTCCGATGGTTAGATACGAAGTTAAAGTACTACTAAATCCACAAAATAATAACATTCCCATGATTAAAAACGACAGGATTGTTAAACGTAACGACCAGCATGACGGAATCTTCTGACAACCTTTATTTTATTAGAATAAAGAAAACAAATCGATGTCAGAAAAATATCGCAGAAAAACATGAATTTTGATGAAAACAGTATATTAAATTTTCTATTACAAATGACAAGTACCTTGACCGCTTATACCACCTAAAACGTAAAGAAAGACGAATGAAAGAGATGAGAATTCATTGTCGCATTCAACGTAAAATCTGCAGATGGTTTTTCTCAATGCATAAATTCCCATAATGATAAATACGATAAATATAATAAATAATCCTATTATTTTCCATAGATCGTAACTGAAAATTCTAACGTACCACCACGTTGAAACGCTTGTACCTTCGGATTGCACGAATAGGGCATAACTGTGGATAATCAATACTTAATAAGAATATGAATTTCGTTTGTTCACGATATATCATCGAATTAAAATGAAATTAAGGATAATAATAATCCGATATAACATTAATTTCTTTTATAAAAAATAAAAGGGTATATGTATATACGTTACTTAAGAATTTTTTTATTTCGACTTACTAGTTGGTCGTGATTGGAACGCTGTAAGTGTAATAACTAGAGGTGTAGGAGTAAATCACCGTAGTTTCCAAGAGTGCGTGAGCTCGACCATTCATCAGCGTCCAGCCAGTAGACGGTCCCGCTCTACGGTAAATCGTCCTGTATTTTCGAGGAAGAAACACTTTTATTACGGTGTGAGCGCACCCAACGGTGTTACCACTTTTCTTTCTCTCTTTTCGTCTTTCGCGAAGCGTGATACTATACTTATACCTGTCTAGACGAATGAATCATGCAAGTATTTTGACCCAACACTCCACGTCTGGGTGGTACGCGGAAAATTGGGCAGATTCTACGTACGAATAGGTTGTCGTGTCAGTTTGATCCCCTCTCTCTCTCTCTCTCTCTCTGCATGCAAATTGTGAATGAAAACGACAAGAAGAGTAACAGGTAAAAACGTGAAAGGCGTGACCAGACGAGCGTAGATTTCTATGATATTACGTGCCGACAATGATAACAACGCGAGCTCTTAACAGTTCAAGAAAAATGGGCGTACGAAGTAAAGTTACCCAAGATACGAAAGAATCGAAACGAGTAATACGATTTTAATCGACTCACAATCAGATTAACAAAAAACAACAAGAAAACTTATTTATTCTCGTTACCAAATAATTTAAGGGGGAAGATAGGTGTATAGGTTTCAAAAAATTCTATTTTTTTTATATGCGTGGCATGTAATATGGAACGGTCAAGCTTTTTTTCAAACGTGTTTTTCTCGAATTTGTGTACACTTAGTTAAAAAATTTTACAACTGATCATTTTGAAATTTGGTATATAGTTTCTTTATTTATTAGAACTACAATTCTAAACAATATCTTATTGCAAAAAAAGGTACGAAAAAATGGGAAAAAATCATGCTTCATGTTCATACCCCATCTAAAAATATTAATTTTCAATTTTTTTTTAAGGAAGTGAAATTCACATAAAAGAAACACATATAAAAAATGTAAATTCTCTGTGCGACTGATTTCACGTAAAAATTTCGGCCACCAAGATGTACACAAATTGCTCAGTTGGATTGCGACCAACAATGCGCGGCAGCTGATATCTCCGTTACTTTTCGAGGAAAATTTTAGAAAATTTCCGAATATATTCACAAATATATGCGTAAAATGATCACACGATATAAATAAATTATTATAAATTCCTTATGTGTGTTAGAAAAATTCATGAAAATCACTATAAAAACGTCGTTATACACCTATCTCCCTCCTTAATACCGAATTCGTAATGAAGGGGTTTATATACGAACGTGAATTTTAAGGTTTCTTCCAAAGTCGTCCAGACGTCCCCTATGAATCCTGTAACTTGGCTCTGATTTGAATTTATTATGATGTACGGATTCATCTGAAAATGAGAGGGCTAGTCGACAAATAGTTCCTTTTCCATTTTCATTCGATTCACTTAAAAAATTGTTTTCGATCACTCACGTAATCGGAAACCACTGTGATCGATTTCATGGTCAAGTTCTTGACGAAATCAACGCTACACAACAATCCGTTGTTCGATTTCAATGTTTCCAATGGTACGAAGTTATCTTCTATCCGATCCCATCTCCAAATGCGACTTGGACTTTTCTTCAAAATTCTACTCTCTTCTTGATTGTTTAAAAGACGTATACAAGTTTCCGCATGGATCGTGATAAATAATGACTGATAAAGTTGCATTAAAAATGAAACGTTCAAATAATTATTATTTTTTTTTCTTTCTAATAATGCACACAAGAATTACATACCGTGAAGCAAATGAATATCTTCATGGTGGTTCGAGCTCGAATGATGTGACTTCGAACGTCACTGGTTACCTTCATTACTAAATCCTTTCGCCTTCCGAAGTGGCTTTCATTTTTAATCACCGACTACGCATACATTCTAACGTCTTAATGAGAATAATTGACAACCTTGCCTGTAGGATATCAAAAGTGACAAGGATTGTCGTACCTTTCGATTAATTATTCATATACAAAGGATCAGACAGGTGAGATGAATCAAATTTTTTAACGAAGATATTGATTTATCGGTAGGATATACAATGAATATTTATAATCGATCGATCAATTAATTTTTTTTATTCGGACTTCAATTAGATCGTATGTGATTTGTTATATTTAATTTTATATTAACAGTTATTAAAATATACAATTTTTCCAGCGAATATATGCTTGTGAATGATCGAATAAGAAAGTTAAAGTAAATTTGTAGTTAACTATGTGTAAAGAGATAATAAGCTGAACTTGCTCCTCTTTCACGCTTATTTTAAGCGAACTTACACCCCCTTTCTCTTATATACAATTATAAGAAAAGATAAAACAAATAATAACGCATCATCGACGCATATTTTATTTTTGATAATCGAGTTCACGTGAACTCTCGTATTTATGCGCAACACGTTTTTTTCATCCTCTAATATCGAGGTCAGTGTGCTACATAGAAACAACTTCGATGAAATATTACTAATTGAAAATATTATTTAAACATTTATTCGCGGTGTAACTGCACTAGAAGACGTTATCTTGGTTTTTTTTTTTTTTATAATCATTTATTGCATATCGATGATATGATCTATTAAGCATCTGTTACAAAAAAAAGGCGAGAACGGTATTCGAATTTGTTGGATCTCATTTGACTAAAGAATTTAATTTTCATGAAAAATATATTATTAATTTCCATGTATCGGTACTGTTCGGCATAAACAACACAGTTGCGAGAGTACCATTGCGAATGTCAGGGTCAGCGAACCGGCCAGTCGTTTGCACGATTATTATTAAAAAAAAAACATATGAGATATATTTAAACACATATAGGTCATCGTAACGTTTTTATTTGTATTTTATCGGGTATTCAAGATCACAATAAATCGTACGATACGCATACTGTATAAACGTGTACGTAATTACATTTATCTATTCTTGTAATTGTATCATCTCGAATATTTTGCTTTCACTTCATATATTCGGTTGTACAAGTTTTACATATTTTATATCGATCCTGTTAAGTAGCAACGTAAGTACAAAAAGATTCTATATGCACGTAACGTGATACTCCTATAATGTAAACTTAAATTATCGTCATTTCATTTGTATTAACGTGATTTAAAACTTGTTAAAATGAAAAGCCTCAAATTATTTACTAGAGAATTCGGATGGTTAACTAAACGAATGTTGTAGCATTCGTTGTAGTATGCTACTTATTCCTTTACTGTAGGAATTCTTAAGTCCTTGTGAATTATTTCATTTGATACATACCAAGGAGCAATGGAAATGTTTCGCTGGATTCTTGATTGAAATCTTTGTAGAATTTTAATGTTTGAGTTACCAGCGGTTCCCCATAGTTGAATTCCGTATATCAATATGGACTTTAGAATATCTTTGTATGTGTCGCAGGGAAATGATGAAAATGGAGATTTGATCAAATCTCTAAGGTAGATGAAATGTTAAAAAATAAAATTTCTGTGGGGTGATTTAGCTGAAAAAAGTAAGTGATTTGATCGAATCATTCAACTGTTTTACCGAATAATTAAAAATTGATTAACACGTTATTGTATTTATCTCTTCTATCAGAGTTTCTTATTCATAGGTTACATTTCTTAATTTACAATTTAATAGGTTAGTTATTAAATCTACTAATTTATCATATTTAAAAGTATGAAATTCATTGAATACATTTCTGCTGTTGTAAATCTCTTTTCGAAGCTCATGCATAAGCAATTCCATATTTCTTTAGCGGTGGTACAATTATGATAATATTTAAAAAAGAAGCTGATCCAAGAACCAAAGAATATGAGTACCGTTTAGGTGCGTTTCGTTCCAAGATCCTGCAGACCTTCAATACAACGACTTTTTCCACGAAACCATAAAATCGCTTAATCTTCGAGTATCCAAGTTATGGATGGTTATAAACGGTTTCGTGACCACGAATTCACGATACTGTTACAGAAAATGAAGGGGATAAAAGAGAGGTGAGTGAGAATCTCATCGATCGACCAGACATTAATTTTTATTAAACGATATAATTTTATGCGATATTATTATTATGGGTAATATGGGAAACACATTGTACGATGGCGATCATAATCGTTTATTCCGCAACATTTTAAATAATATGTATATGAAATATCGAAATATTATGTTCATAATATTTTAGTTATAATTTATACAGAGTTCATTTTTTTTTTTTTTGCGACAATAAGCGTACAGAAAGATGAAGCAATGTGTAAAAGTCTTTGAACTGATTATGCTTTGAAAAAACGTGTGGTAATGTTAAGGTAGGAACAAAGATAGAAAGACAAAAGTGAGAAAAAGATCGAAAATGTAAATGAACGAGAGAAGAACGGTCGGTTTCAAGATTTTCTACGTATCGTATTTGTGCATCTTTGTTCGCTCGACTACATCGAGATTTCTTTTCGAAAGAATATGCAGCATACCCCCTTGTGTAAAAGGAGGAAAGAATTGGCGATTTCGTCGTTTAGAATATAATATATGTCGACTGGTGTGCATCTTTTAGAGAATGCGAACCAATGCGCGAGATTTGAATCGCTTTGAAAGTCGATTTGGCTTTCAAACGTCACGAGAAGAAGTCGATGGCCTATCTCGGTCTTCTTTCGGTCTTCGCTACTTTTTTTTTCTCTCTCTCTCTCTCTCTCTCTCTCTGTTCTATCTCTTTCTCTCCGACATGCGTAGTCCTATCTGGCCGATCAGCGGGACGACGGCTTTGAGCGTGCCCTCGATTCCGTCAGCTATAAAAATTCGATCGAAATTTTTCTTCGGGACTTCTCTCGAGAGATCGTGCATCAAATTGCACGCGCATCGGACGGTGCACGTGCGCCGTTGTCGAACGGCCGATGTCATCGAATTTCAAATTTCTCATTTTCTTTTCCTTTTTTTTTTTTCCCCCACACAAACCCCACCCCATCCCATTCTTCTCTCTCACTTTTTTCTTTTTTCTTTTTTTTCTACGCGTCATCGTGTAGAAGCAGCTCGATCATTTTGCCAAACCTGTGTGAATTTCATTTTGACGTAGAGGTATATATATATATATATATGTATTATATATGGAATATTCCATGTGCCAACTCAACTTACTGTGAAAAATTGACATTTTTGATTTAGCTCAAATTTCACATTATCATTTTGTATTAAGTTAAGAGAAGAGTTTTATGATTTTTTTCGAATTATTTTTCATAAAGACGTTCAGAAGATATGAATTTTTAGCAATTTTAATAGCTTATACTTTTGAATTTTAAGACTAAAACTTTGTTTTTACATTCTCAGAAATACTACTTTCACACAAAAAGAAAAAATTAATATATAATTTAAATCGTAGGTATCGTAGGGAATTTGGACATTCAAAAGAATTAGAAGTTCGTTTTGATTAATTGAAATGACTGTAAACTTATTAATGTTAAGAAAACTAATACCATCGCGTTAGTTGAGCATCATTTTAAAACAGGACATTATTTTAAATTCGACGCCGTAACAATTTTAGATTTAGAAGAAAATTGGTATAAAAGAAACATTAGTGAAATGTATCACATAACGAACAATAACGCGGTTAATTTTAGAACAGACATAAATAATTTAAACAACATCTATAACGGAATTTTTAAATTTAATTATAATAAATAGAACACACGAATAGAGGGCACCTTAACAGTGAAAATATCTAAACAAATAAACACTAGTTTAAATTGAAACAGTTTTGTTGAGTTTTCAAATATAACGGATAAAGAGATAACGAAATATAGATCTGTAGTTTTTTTTGGAATATTACAAGAATGTATGTAAAGACGCTGAATTTTATAGATCAAAGTAACATCTAATATTTTATAATGTATGGGTCTCATCTAATTCACAATATAAAAATAAGAAAAAAAATAAAATGTCCAATTGCTGAAGTAGTCCCAATAAAGGGATGAAACGTCCAATTAATCATAACAAAGTTCTAATTCTTTCGAATGTCCAAGTTCCCTACGATACCTATTTATTAATAATCATTTTATTTAATCAGTTATTTCTCTCGTCCAAAATTATAATTCTTAATGATAAATGTAAAGATTAAGTTGCCGAATAAGTCTCAATAAAGGTACGAAACGTCGAACTTAGTTAAATTAAGTTCTACTTCTTTTTTTCATGTCCAAATTCCCTGTGATACCTTATCATTAATAATTTTATTTTTGGACGAGAGAAACAACTAATTATAATATAAAATATTAATAATTTGAATAAAACATAGATAACAATTCTCTCACCTTTCTTATCATATTATATTACATTATTATCTTTTTTATTGTTAACTTTTTCCTTATAAAATTAAAGATACATATATATATATAAAAATGTGAAGAAAATAAAGAGAAGATAAAATAATAAGAAGAAATAATAATAATCAAAAGAGATACGTCATTAACATCAATGTGCTTTGCACGTGGGATCGAATGTCGGTCGATTTGTCGTTGATCATCGATTGTCGATTAGCGTCGATGCTCTTGTTTCGAAAAAAAAGATTCGAACTCAATAAAAAGAGAGAGAGAGATAAAAAAAAAGAGAAAAATAGTAGTCTTTAACCGGCGACAATGATCGCCACGAAGGATCGCGGAAGGTGGTGGGAGAGCCGAAGGAGGTGACGGGCTGGAGGGTGCAAGAAGAGGCGTTGGTAGTAGTGGTGATGGTGATGGCAAGAAGGAAGGGATCAAAGAGTGGGGGGCAACGAGCCATAGGCGTCAGTCGTGCCGACAACGCCGGCAACGGGTAGACGCACAGTCCTGCTACATGCGAATGCATAAGATACTACGCTCGCACGTCAAAGAGGGAGAAAAAGAGGAGAAGGGAGGTAAAGAGGCAGGGAGAAAGAGAGAGAAAGAAATATTGGGTAGGGTGGCAGGGGGTTAGGGGCGGGAGAGTAAGGCGCCGAGAGAGAAAACGGGAGCGAGATATATAGGGGAGGTAAAGAAGGAGAAGAAGGAAGAGGCGGAGGGAGAGAGAGAGAGAGAGAGAGAGGGAGAGAGAGAGAGAGTAGAAAGAGAGGACGATGGAAGAAGAAAGAAGAAGAAGAAAAGGAGGAGGAGGAGGCTTCCACCTCGACATATATGCGGTGAAACCGCGCGCCTCCTGACTCAGTGCTTGACAGGCTAGCAAGCTTTAAGGATCTGTAGGTATCGCGCCTACCGGCAATCCTGAATCCCCCTCCCTTCACCCTATCGACGCGACCTTCTTCACGCGTGATACTTTTGCTCTTATTTTATTTCTCTTTTCCATATTATTATTTCTATCTATCTGTCTGTCTATCTGTCTCTCTCTCTCTCTCTCTTACTGTCTCTCGTTCCTTTAATTTTTCTCTCTGTTACTATTTATCTCTATCTCTTTATTTGTTTTATTTTGCTATCCTAGATAAAAAGAGATAGACACCACGAGGAGATCAGCGTATCTCACTCACTCTATTAGTTACCTCCGAGGAGGGTATCCTATTCTTGTCACTGGGAGCATCATCTCGAGTCTGACGTAATATAGGGAAAGAACGATTTAAGGAGGAAGGATCGAAGGAAGAAATCACGATCGATAAAATCGCGAAGGTCGAGCGTGTTGGTGGTGGTATCGTTGCGAGTGGAACTGGAGAAAGAGGAAAAATAAGAAGAAGGAAAATAAATAGAGGTGACGGTCGTTCGAAAGGGGGTAATGCTGATCGAGAATATGCAAATCGTTGTCGTTGTCGTAAGAGAACAGACTATGACAATGTGCCGGTGAAGAAGCTCATTTCGGATTCGAATACGGCGCGCGATATTCTTCGGGACGAAGACGAAGACGAAGACGAAGACGATGACGTTGACAAGGAGACCGGGCTAGAATTGAAGGTTACGAGGGTGCAGCGGCGGGACCACACTCGTCGTACTCATCGTTTCTTTTTCCTCGTCCCTCCCAGCCCTCTCCCTTTCCCGACTCCCCCCCAACCGCTCTCTCGTTCTCTCACTTTCTCTCACTTATATTTTCTGATTCAGTTTTATCTCCCTTTCTCTCCGTTTATGTGTGTGTGTTTGTTTGTTTCTCTGTGTATCGTCCAAGCCAGTCACAGAGTTATACTTTTATCGGACAGTCTCAGTGTGCTGTATCTTTATTTCACTTACTTAAACCCTTGCCACCACGCGCGAACAATTTTTCATCTCTGCGATGTGGTGTGTGACGTATCGAACAAAAGTCTTTTACCGATCGATTAAAAGTGTGCCTACCTTAAAAGCATAATCACACATAAACCTGATCGATTCATTTTTATCATCTTTATTATTTCGCGAGTTATAATTCGCAAGTGCCGACAAAAGTCGATCAAAATTTGTCGTACAATTGATCGATTAAAATATCAAAGACGTAGGAGAAGAAAACGAAGCTGGATCGCGATTGCACTAAGCTGGGCTGGTGGTTTGTTATTTCGACCGGTGCAACAACATCATCACCGACGGCTAATCACGTCAAGCGGAAGTTTATTCAAGTGAAATACGTGAAACGGGGGTCGCAGGTAATTGGTAAGAAGAAGCTAGTGCTTTGCGATAAAGGAGGAGGAGGAGGAGGAAGTGGTGGAGGTGTTGGTGGTGGTTGTGGGGAAGAAGAAAGTGTTGGAGAAAGAAGAGGACGGCGACCAGCCGGAAGAAAGGAAGAAGAGGCAGGAGGAGGAAAAGGAGGCGGGGGGGAGGAGGTGGTGGAGGAGGAGGCGACGGCGGAGGAGGAAGAGGAGGAAAAAAGGAGAAGGGGTGAAAGAGGAAAAGGAAATCTCTCGGGGAAGGTGGAATTTCCTTGTTCGAATTGAAAATACGGAAGGGGAAGAAGAAGCACTGAGATTAGAACGGAAAAGGAAGGAGGAAGGAAGGAGAGTAAAGAAAATAAGGATGACGTGGTCGTCGCGGGCTGTTTGATCGTCAGGTCGTGTTTAAGACGGAAGCCCGCGAGTGACGCTTCCTCGTTGTCAGGAGCCGTGACCTTGGGAGCAAGATGGTCACGAGACCGCTCCTGATACTCTCGTTGCTCCTCCTCGGTGCCTTCGACGCGCCTGGCATCGAGAGAGCTCGCGTCAAATATTTCGCAATGGCCGGTACTGCATGCAATGCCTGTAGGATGCACGAAGAAATCAGGGCTCTCAGTCTCGAAGCTATCAAAGAGCAAATACTTAATAAGCTCGGACTGAAACAGGCGCCTAATATGACTGGTAGGGCCTTCCCGAGAATCCCGCCTATTTCGAAACTTATGGACATGTACGGAATGCAGGCCGATCAACCTCAATCGGTAGAACCTGGTATCACTTATCACGAGGAAATTGACGAATACGCCGCTAAGACCGAGAGCATTTTTGCCTTGGCACAACCACGTGAGTATTTGACATTTTATCTACCCCTATATTTATCATTTCAATCAAATTTTTGTCGTTTATATTAAATGTAGATAATTTGCGTATCGTAGTTAAACGACGAATGGAACAAGAAGAAAATTGTTCGATCGTTAATCGATGAAACATTTCGAGGCATAACTTATTTTTCGTCTTACGGGGTTCTTCTTACGGCATCGATTTTTGAAATTCGATCTTTGCCTTTAGGCGTCGAGGGCTCGTACAAGGCGATAATGGGACTTATTGAGCCTCTCTCTCTCTCTCTCTCTCTCTCTCTCTCTCTCTCTCTTTCCCTTTTTTTCTCACCGTTAAAAACGTTCTCTCTATATAATATACATACATAATGCATGCTTCTTCCTTGGAGAAAAATGGAAAGAAGAGGGTGGGAAGAAGGCTCGGAAGAAGACACGACTTACTTCTACCTACGCGCGAATCCTTTGGGCGAGATTATTCTCGAACCTTTTATAGGGTAAAAGCCATGTACTCGTGTTAGTAGGCTACCTTACAACCTGTGTTTAACTCTTCCTCCCTGTATTCATATATTAAAAAATGAATTGTTAAAAAACACCTCGAGAAATGATCGACGTGAACCAACGGACGGCTTCTTCTTCTACCTGCTTCCAGTTAATCTGAATTTCATGGCCGTATTAACGTACTTAATATAGGCTTGATCGATGTACCGTGTTGCTTTATAAGTTTCGAGATCAATCTCGATAGCGTAACTGATAATTACGTATAACACGTTCCACGAAACGCCATTTATTCAACGTGTTCTTTTGATCTTTCTACGAAAGTTGTCTTTTCATGTTCGTAATGCCGAGAGTAATTTTCGTGTCGAACCTTTAAAAAATGTATAATTTTACAGATTTCCATGTACATTGGTAAAATGTTACTGGTACACAGGTAAAACATACACATTAGCGCGTTTATGTGAATACATACTTATATACATACTTACATATTTATTTACATAGATATATACATCTATACGTAGGTATGTATATATATATACGTATCTTTATATAATAAATACGTTACACTGTATTCAATATTCGCTTACTCTTAAATATACGTATAAATCATTAACAATGTTACATACTACATCCACGTGAACGAATCACCTGCGAACGGAGTCCAAGTTGTCTGAGGGAAATTATAAATGTCAACGTGAATCACAAATCAACGATAACTAAATTACTTATTAAAATTTGCGCTTTGTTTTGAGAAAGATAAAGCTTCGTTCGGAAAGTCTTTTGTTAACGCTTAGTTAGTTTGCAAAATGAAACGTAGTAGTCTTTATATTCAAGCAAGGTCACTCCAAAATGAGTGACTCTTATTGGAAAAATGAAAAGGTTCGAATTGCATAAAATTAATAAATAATAAGATAATGTACGAATGATAAATATTTGAAATTATTCGAATTCATGAAATAATTGTTTAAGTATATCTAATTTGTTTACCGCATTGCGGAATTTCGTTACATCGAGAATCGATAATTAAATTCTATTCTTGCATAAATGCATCACATTGAATTACTTGTACGGAATATAAAATCTTTTATCTTAGGATAGTAAGACAAAACGTTCTTACGACCAGCATCAGAGACACGTTTTTCGAACCAATGACGAATTCTTTTCATCTGTTAATGCAGTTTCATACGTGCCTTACCAGTCGTTTATTTGTTTCTACATGCGTTTTGTTCTCGTTCGTGCTCATAATAGGATACTACAAATTGATCACACAAAAGAATACTTTTTTATTTAAGTAAGAAAATGAAGTAACACAGTTAGAAAGAAAGATAGACAGAGATTAATACATTTGTTTCTCATATTAATATTCATTATTTTAATTATATCATTAATATAAAAAATATAATTAGATAGTATTTTTTAGAGAATAGGACGGTTGTGAACTAAGTATCAAATTTGTGTGGAACTTTATCTTTATCTTTCTTCAGGTGTTCTGTAATTCTTACATGACACCATTCTGGATCTTGATTTTACAAATTTATTGTTTCTCTCTCTCTCTCTCTCTCTCTCTCTCTCTCTCCGTTTATTCATTCTTTCTTATATACATACATGTTTTCTTTCTCTTCAATTTTCATCTTCCTCATCTTTTTTTTCTTTATCTCTTTCTTACTTCTTCTTCTTTACTCTTCATTCTTGCATCTAAATTTCCTTCGACGAAACGACAGTCAGTTTTTTGTAGTGCATCCTCAAGAGATCGATCGATCGATCGATTTTGGTCGCTTGAATGCAAGTCGATCGAATGTGTGTGTGTGCCAACAATAATTTTTATATATCCACATATATTATATACGTACAATAAAATGTTTCTATTTTTCAGATTGTTCTTTTTCGTTTTTATCACGTTATATATGTATATACTAGTATATACATATATTTATGTGATTTAATGTATATATGTTAAGAAGTAATTAGAAATGAGTAAACGAAATCATTTCAACGATCGTATGTATTTACGTATACATACCTCTGAATTGAATTGTAAGGGTTCTAACAACACGATCTGTCATATGTGCGATTTGTGGTTAACGAATTAGTCATTTCCTTACGGTGTTTTTGTCGTCTGGCTTGCGAGTGTATTCAACCGAAATAACTTCTTTGTTCTTCTCGAAGCTAAACTAGTAGCTCTTTCACATACCTTTTTTACGCGTTATTATCACTTATGATAGAACATTTTCGCGTGAAAATAAGGAAAACAAATTTTCTTTTAGTCATTTTATTTTCCTCCTGTTAATTTCTTATTTCTTTTTTATTATTATTATTATTCATCATAAAATATAAAAACAGTGAGACACTTATAATAAAGTCAAACTTTGTTTTATTTTCTAATTATTTACGATAGAGTCAAACTTTCTTTTATTTTCTAATTATTTTACATATTTTTCAATTTAAACAATTATTTTGTTCTTCTTAGAATATCTTAAATTATTAGTTTTTCCGATAAAAATTAATTGAAGCTTTGACCTGCGCTAGGAAAAAAAGAAATAGAGAGAGAGAGGGTGAGAGAGAAAGAGAAAGAAGAAGAAGGGATCAGGGGGGAGAGATTAACCTGTTGAAAGAAGGTTACAGTCCAAGCTGAAATAGGCGTTTACGAATTTCCAAGTACGAACGACGAACCGGCCTCGATTCGTAACGAAGGTCACGGCCGATGCAAAGCCTAGGTCAGGCCCATCGCTCATTATCGCGTTAAAGCTGTCTGTGTAGTAGGTGGTAGGTCGCTGTTAGGACTCATCTAGTTTAGGACCAACCTTTCTTTTATTTCGAACTCTCTTTTTTTTTTACGAATATTTGAATTGTTTATTTGTAACTAAGGCTCATTATTGTTGCTGACGACGACTCGTTATTGTACCATCGTATTTTTACAATAATCCCTGATTTATTTTAAGCATACCAAAATGATATTTATTGTTTCTTTATTAGAGATGACCAGAAAGACGAGATTTTTCAATGTAATTTAATATACAAATTTACGAACGTATCTGACATTTCAAGGACATATTATGATAGATGTTTCGTAATATTTTTGGATCATCATGTGATGGGATATATAAATGAAATCATTTTTATTACAAATTTATGGGGATAATTTAATGCGTGTGTGGTTAAAAAAAATAAATGTAACTACTATATCAAGCAGTGCCAGAAAAGTGTTATACTTCGAATGGTTTAACACTGACGTTGTTTTTTTTAATTTCATATTTTTCGATATTTGATTTTTATTAATTAATGTTAATAATGAAATTGGCAAATTTATTGAAATATTTCTTTATTTTATTTAATCGATATACGTTTGACTGACAAAGATGATCATCCGTAGGATAAGAGAAATACGTAGGTCAGAAAAAGGACAGTATTTTTATTAATCGATAAAAATTTTCAATGCTCGAACGTAATTTGGCGATTAGCGAATATAATCAAAATCACATATGTGAAGAGTTATAAAAAGAAGTGAGTATAATGATAATCGTTCACACGAACACGCTTATTTAATATATGCTATCGTTATCGTGGATTTTTTTTTTTTTTTTTTTTTCAACGTGGACGTTTCAAATATATGTTTAATACAATACATATGTACAAATGTAAATGTTACCATGCATTGACAATAACATTTAATTAAATATTATTTAACACGTTATTACATCACATATATTTATTTTCTATTTCGATTAGATATTCATTTGATGTATGACATTAATAAATAGGATAAGTTTCTAAACTATAAATAAATGTACATCTATTTGTTAATCTATCGATCAATCTATCTATCTATCAATCGATTTCCTTTTGATATTTTCATTTCGGAACCTCAGAGAGAGAGAGAGAGAGAGAGCACATGTAGCCTCAAATCCCACCCGTTTTCAACGAAATGAATAACTCTGAAACAGATACATAATAATGACAGTTCTGATAGCGGCACTTGTGGTCAGCATACTCGCAGACAGGCGCCGCACTTTTAGTGGTTCTCAATATATATTATACATTATAACATCGTAATGATCACGTTTTTCATTCGAGGAATACGCATGCACGCGTGTACTTATTTCTATAACAGATAATTCCAAAATATGAACTTCTAATTGGATTTTATCATATTTTATCATCATAATTTAATTATATTTAAAAAATCCAAATGTATTATATTATGTCATTAATAACATATTATTCTCCGATTTCAAAGTTGACGACGTGTAACGATTAGATAATTTTTGTTGGGTTGTTAAAGGGAATGGTTACTTTTGAAGATAAATTAATATGACTGGTGTCATCAAAATCGTTCGAATATTTAACGCGCTTGAGTATTAGAGATTGAGATTAGAGATTTTAATATCGAGATGATCCCGATGGAAAACGGCACTCTCCTTTAGCTGTCGATACGCGTTCTGACCGATCCAATGTGGCGTTGGGATCGATCGATACAGAAAACCAGTTTGTCGTGTTCCCGGACTAACTCGG